TGGGAATATGCAGAGCATGCATACTGTCTGAGAACACGAGATGTTATTAAGGGGCACTCGACCTCTGACTGCGCGGCTTAGCATGCCTGAGAAATGATGATGCAATCGAAACCGCCATCCGTCAGTACTGAAAGCGGTCCTAGACCTGTCTGAGCGTCTATGGTTTGTGCTGGTCATCGGACACGGGACTAGCGACCTAGAACGGTGGCTGTGCAGTCCGGAGGTGTCTTCAGAGTCTGTTGGGGATCTAGAACGATAGTCATAGCCTTGTGATCCTGCGCATCCTCGGGTTGAGCCATGGGGATAGCAGCCTGTCAATGAACCAGACCCGATAAGTAAGATCAACGAGGGGCGCTGTACGGGACTTTGCGGTATTAGGAGGCTGCGAAGGACCGCTGTCCAACTTCTATCAAGAACCGAGCCCCTCGCCCACGACTGGAGAAAGTATCATCTTGCCTGGATTTGTATCGCTACGACACTAGTTCATAAAATCATACAACCCTTGGTTTTTCCAAATATCTTCTTACAATACATTCACTCTCGCCTGTCAAAGGGTACTGCTAGTGACAATGGACTTTATCGAGATCTGCGAGGTGTTCGGGGGATCCATACTCCCGGACGAGTTTCGTGGTAACTATGAGGACGCGGACCGTCATATCGCGGCTCTTGAGCAAGAGATTATCGCAGGACCGAGTTCAACAACTGCGAGAGCGAGAACGACCCTTCTTCGAGCCATTTACTACACGCTTTCCGGAGACTTCAGGATGGCTCATGAATATATACATACTCTTCGAGGCTTGCAACATCGAGGGCTAGAGCGGATTTGGGTGCTCCGTGGGCAATTGTACGAATTTTACGCTGCCATGCTGGAGCATCGACCAACAGCTATTGCGTTTGCGATGATCCCTGGGGATCCGTACGCAAGGTTGTGGAAGAAGGATTTTGATTTGGTGACTCTGCACGTACAGGCCAGAGAGGCTGGACGAGCCATATGTGTTGCCGAATGTACAACCGTGGTCGAGAGGCTAGAACAGGCCGTGATTCTGGACGTATGGTCTTTCCTGGATACTTTGTACTTTTCCTACCTTGAACACCGTGATTTTACGCCACTTGTTACCGCGGAGTCTCTACCACAAGGCCAGGAACGAAACCTGAGTTTCCTGAATTTCCCAGTTCCATATTTGTCCGGTACCCTGGCAAGCGACATGAGTCATGCAGGGAATTCAACGTTCCAGAATCTCTTGCAGAGAATGTCCAACGATATCGAATTAGCGAAGGGAGCCTCAAGTGGTCACCAGGCGTTTTCCCACCTCCAAGCAGAATATGAAAATGCTCTGGACTATGCGGGGCTGGGCCTGTGCAAAGTAATTGAAGGCGATCGCATACTATCACCCTCATATACGAGTCCTGTAGCGTTCAATTTAATGTGTGAGTTGCGCGACAATGGGTGGGAAAATATGGCATGGGACTCATTAGAGTCAACGTTTCTACTGCAGGATAACGAGAAGGCTCATAGGCGCTATGATGAAGCTCTTTTTTATATGGAGGCTGCGTGTGCCCCAAGAGGTCAAGCCGCTGTCTACCTGCGCAGGGGGTGCGTGAATCATGCAGAAGGAATCCGATCTAAGGCGGGACCCGACTGCGCTCAGTTCAAACAGGCTGAGGAAAATTTCACAACAGCACTCAGCCTTCTCGCCAACGACACTTTTAACCAACAGCTGGTTACCTGTCATCTCGCTTTACTTAACTGTAGCCGTGGACAGACTAAATCCGCTGTGGAGATAGCAAGACGCCTAGGGACCGAGTTGCGCGAAGCGCAAAGCTCTAAACTCTCCCACTTCCTTGGGACATTGATACTTCGATCTGCTCACTTCCAGTTCGTGCAGCACAAGAACACTAGGGTGGCTACTGCTTGTTGTGAATGTGCCGCTGTCTACCACGAGGCATTGGAGAGTCCTCTAGGTTCCCTTTTTACAGCGGAGGCATTTATTACACTGTTCAGGCAAACACATAACTGGACGCTCGCGCAAGCAAAGGTTACAGAGAACATAAAGCCCTCTGGAGTTATACACCGCGCATTCGCATACATCGATGACATTGTGTCTCACAAAGTTGACCTTCACAACCTCTGTAACTCAAGGAATTCGCTCCTCCTCGAGTTCGACAGGTTGGTCCAATCCGTCTGTTCGATGACTGGCGATGAGAATCTACGTTCGCAGTGGGAGGAAGTACGCCGGGGCCTTCAGCCAAATGAGCCACAGGGGAGTTCTGATTTCATTGACCTTGCACCTTTGAGTGACGAGGCCAAGCGTCATCTCAATGACCCAGAACTTGGGTCAATGGAATCCGAGATGATGTACTTCTGCCAAACGTTTGAGGCGCGAAAAAGGTTCAATGCGGGTTACGGCCGAGCCATTGGGGGTTCCTTCGAGGCGATCGGATTGGGGGATATGGACGCCGCTGATGCCCAACTCGAAGCTTTTGTCTCGACCTGCGACTCAGAGAGCGCTCTCAAAATAAGGGAGGTGCTCAACTACATGATCCCGACCCTAGCACAACTTGATCGGGTGGATGAAATGAGACAGGCTCTTCCACATTATCTTTCGGACTGGTTCGTTAGAGGCGGGGTAGAGGACATTCGTCTGGTCTGCGATCGTAAAGGAGTCACCAGTGATGTTCGGGAACACGCGATTAAAGTTCGTAGGGATACTGCTGAGCAGGACATATCCATGTGCTTCATGGCCCAGGCCTGGGATAAGGGTCCTAGGATACTGCGGAATATCGCCACCGTGCTCCCCGACTTTTTCTATAAAACAAGGACACAGCCAAAGCCAGACACCTGGCAACTGCTCACCTTCATCGGTGCGTTTTATGAGCGGGCTTCGAAGCTCGACAAAGCGATCGATACTTATCTAGACGGTCTACACCAGGTCGAAAATCTGAGATCTATGATTCCAAACCCCGACGACCGGCGCAAAGCTTACTCGACGCAGCACACTGCAGAGTTATTCTGCGGGCTGGCTCGAACATCAGTCGCCCTCTCGAGGCGGACTGATGCAAAACGTCCGGATGAGTACCGCCTGCCGACATCCTCTTGGCTAGATCAGGCGCTCATCTTCCTTGAGCGCGGCCGGGCAAGAACGTTACTCGATATACTACAGGCACATGATTTTGCAGGCGTGGAGAGCCTTCAAGCGTGGATGGAAGAGTTATACCGAAATCGCCTGCTGTCAACATTAAACCATTCACAGTATAGGCCTGGGGATGAGCAGAATCTTTTGAAGAGGGCAAGGACTGTTGCAGAGAAGCTCGGAATATCTGCGGATACATTCGATCCGGTTGGAGAGGCTCTTAAGGGGAGGGACGAGACCATAGCACAGATTTTCAAAAACACCATGTTCGTCCCAGATGTGGATGGACTTCTTAGCTCAATTCCTGCGAACGCGATCGTCATAGAAGTTGGCATTTGTATGAGTGGCATAATTGCCCTGTGCATCTCATCGTCAGGCATCCAATCCGTGCACCAGTCTGACCTCGGAACATTCGCATTACGCAGACTAGTTGTTGGCTATCTTGGAAAGATATCAGCCTTACAAAAAGACCCAACGCTCCCTGAGGCGGCCAACCTGAAGGAGGGTCTTGATGATATCGCGGCTAGGATATCTACCCACCTGATTGAACCTTTTGCTGAACATATTCGTGGCAGCGATACTGTCATTTTTGTGCCTACTTCATATCTGAACGTCTTTCCTCTGGGTGCATTGATGCTGGACGGCGAGCCCTTGGTCCTAACAAAGCCGTTCTACCAGGTACCGAGTTTGGCTGTTCTGCAACGGATTTCTGAAAAAGCAGCCAAATCCCAGCCGGGGACCACGATTTGCGCGGTAGCAGACTGTGATAAAGCCAACCCAATAGTTTTTGTTGGTCCTGAAGTGGTCTCAGTCTGCAGTGCTTTTGGCGTAGAACCAGTCACGAGCGACCAGTTCCCACAAGCCATGAAAGCAGCTGAGCTCATCCATATCGCAGCTCATGGTACAGAAAATTACTCCTCTCCCTGGGAATCCACAATCCTCGGCGACAAGTTTCGTGTCCTCGACATGGCCACAAAGGATTGCAGCGCCTCGCTGGTGGTATTCAGCTGCTGCCTCAGCGGCAGAGGCGAGATCAACGCCGGTGACGACCTTGTGGGGTTCGCACATGCTGTACTTCAATCCGGGGCCCAGGCATTCCTTGGGGGCTTATGGAGAGTCTGCGACGAACTAGCCATGCTATTGATGCATCTGTTTTACAAGATACTATCGACACACAGAAATGCCCCTCCAGGCGCTGAGATATTCGTGGCAAACGCCTGGCACCAGGCCGTCCGAGCTTTTTACCGGCTGGACGAACGAAACGCACTTGCACTAGTTGATGAACTGGAGAACCTGTGGCGAGCCACCAAGGACACAAGTGCCAGGCCGGACGGTGATTATGGCAAACTAAAGTTTCACCTGAATCAAGTACGGGCGATGATAACGCAAAGGAAAGTGGACTTTACCTCTCCTCGGAATTGGGCTGCCTTTGCTCTGGTTGGATGTGGGAGTGTCAAGATTGTGGGATCAACTCCAGACGCAGAAAAGAATGGGCTCGTTAATGGCCCCGGCGAAGTCTCATAATATGCTAAATTTCTTGGTGACTCTCGGCAGAATCAAAAGTTTCATGGCGAGGGTCACCACAGTCGCTGTTCCTTTGCTCGGTTGGAATGAAAGGTCTACGTTGCAAAAGTGATTACTACGTCATGTCATATTGCATATTCTATCGGTGAATACCGCCATTTCTCTCCATGTCCTAAGCCCTCCTTGCTTGCTCATACGTGTAGAGTTGGTTTACAATCTGCGATATCTCCGTAACCCTGTTGATCGTAGTTTCATCCACCCGTGCGCAGAATAGGTGCTGTATTTTATCAGGATGCCACCTCAACCGCTCGACTTTTAAAATAGGAAAGAGTTGAGACCGCGCATTCATTGAAGCACCATAGTGCAGAAACGCTTCAATATCAGACTGGGCCACGCCTCGACAGCTTCGAAAAGATCCGGCCTCAGTCGGCCAGGGAATCGATGAGCGCGGATCCATACTCCTACGAGAGGCTACCGTCGAGTTCTTGAGTTCTTCCCAGGCGCTGTTATACTCCTTCCACCGCTTCGCTTTAGATTCCTGAGCAGCTTTGTCGCGTTGGCGTCTCTCCTCGCCGTCGCGCCTGGCTTTCGCTTCACGCTCTTGTTGTTCCTTTTTCCTTCTCTCCTCGCGATCCTGTTGCTCTCTTCTGAATCTTTCCTCGCGTTCTCGACATTCTCGACGTTCTCGTTCGATCTTCTCTTCCCTCTCCTTTTGGGCCTGTCGCTCGTGTTCACGCCTGGCTCGAGCCTCTTTTTCTGATTGATGTGGCGTCCCTGGTCCAGGCATTGAGGTGGATGGCCGTCGATAATATGAGCGGGTACTGAAGTCATCATGAGGATGCCGAGCATACGAACGCGTGTTCTCATAATACAACAGGTCTTCCAACTCCTTCTCCAAATGAGCTCGAGTAGTTCCATCTAAGTGCGTTGGAGAAAATGCCTCGGCCCCAGGAAACGAGCGCACGATCATGTTGTAGATGTTTATCCTTCCAATAGGCGTTAAGCTGTTCTCAAGACCATAGAGACCATCGTTATTGATCCACAAGGGACCCAGACCCAGCGGGACGCCATTCGCCATTAGCTTTAGCGTGTCGAAATGGTGAAGCAAACGTCCGTTTACAGTGGCACCAGTCGTGTTAGGAGAGCACACTCCCCGTGGAACGGCGCCGCCGCCCATGCTCATGTTTGGAGGCAATATACCGAGGCATGGCCCACCTAGCTTACCCCATGCACCGCATACACCATCGTACCTACCGATGAGATAGATGTAAATTATATGTGTCAGGCTGGGTAATTATATGGATGGGACTGACCAGTAATGATCAGCAGGAGGATAATATCCCCTCAAATGGAGGTGGGTCAGCTGAACCCTGTTCAAGGCAACACCATTGATAATGACACATTTTGGGGGGCTGGATAGGTCCAAGAGCGGATGCGAAGACTGCTGCGTAGTCTGATAACCGGCCACAAAACCGATCTTGAACCCTCGCTTGAACTGGGACCACGTTGACTCAGGCTGGACATAACGGGTGTAGCTGTACATAGTGAATAATAGGGGACTCCTAGCAGGTGGTGTTTCAATATGATGAGGGTGAATTGATGAGCTTTGGTTTATCAAAGTGCTAGCAACCTACTCATGAGCAGCCAGTCCTTATAATTCAATTGTGGCGAACAAACGGTAGTAGCTTTCAAGCAGTGGAAAGAAGCCATGGTACCATTGCTCCTGTAAGATGTATGAAGGGCCACCGGCATGGAGGCTGAGCCCTCGTTCCAGTAAATCTTCGTACCATCGATTGGCTCTTACCGCCGGTATGTACGAATACAGCTTCAACTGACCTGTGAACAATGTCCAGGACTAAAGCACTTTGGGCATCGTTATATCACGGACTTAATGTATGGCATTCCTGTTTGCTTCATAACAGAATTCCATCAATTTTTTGCTATGTAATGTTCGAATTAACATATCTCACAGGCATATTGCAGTAAGAATATAGGCGGATAGCTATCGCAGATATCCACTCACCCACACCCCAGGCGACATACTAGCCATCGTCATATCATGCCTCCAAGCTCCCATCCTATTCAATTCTTCCAGATATATGCCCAACTCCTCGTTGAAATCCCTCGTCATCTCCGCCTCTCTCGACCACGTCTCCGGTTCCATCTCCCTGGGCACTGAATCCCTAGGAATGGGCACTGACGGAAACCGCCGACCAGTCATGGGATCCACCAAAACACCTCCGTGGGCGGCCAGAAACGCATTAAATCTTCGGTACTGTACCTCGGGATCCCCCAACGTATCTCTCAACATTACCAGATGAAATCCCTCTCTGGTCAGTACTGGGGTTTGGCCATTCATTAAGTGTGGGATGTCATGGGTGCGGTAAAATATTGTCATGGCCTGATACGCAAATTGCTCAGGGGCGGGCATGTTATTCTCCAAGGCAAACATGTAGTAACGGCGACTGAGGTTGTTGTTGTCGGAGTAGAAGAGGGCTGTGAAGACAGAAGCATATTTGACGGGATCAAAACCCCTAGAGTCGACTGGTGGGGTGTTGGTGAAGTAGATGAATATTGCATCTAGGAGCCGGGTGAACAAAGGGGTAGGTTGTTTGGAGTCTGTAATTAGAGGGCCCCAGCCTTGGTGCGCGGCTGATTCATCTGCATGTCTGAAGAAGTGTCCGAATGGCATTGCTGTTGGGATCTTGAGGGATGTCTACACATCAAGTTTGCTAGGCGATTCCTGCGAATGAACAGGCCTTTTATGGGTCTATACTCCCTGAATATCTACGGGATAGCTGTTCTGGCGATGATCTCTAGACAGGAATCCAGACCAGCCTCGACAAAGTCCAGATGACCGGTCGTATGCTTTTGACTGAAGGTTCCACGGTACTGATTCCGGGTTAGACTTTGCAGGAACCAGATAGCATCAGGAAACAAGGAAATCTGACAGGAAGCGATGCGAACCATAGATGAGGGCCTGTGGCTGTAATTCAGCACAGATGATGATCTTTAGGTGGCTAATACGCCTTTGATCGACATCTGTCGGTGGTAAGCTGCATTCTGTACTACATAACTAAGTCCAGAGTCCTAGAGAGCAACATTTGGAGACGAAAGCGGCAGGATCCAAGGAATAGCAACTCTGGGGTTAAAATCACTGACGCAGTTGTAGAACAAATGCAGTAAATGTTTAACCTTGGCGATTGTTGCTGTGCCTGGGCTTTTGCCACTTTAATGATGTTGACGTTCTCAAATTCAAACCCGCTCGAAGAAGTTAGCTTAGAAAGAAGACAGTCAGGCCTATGCTTACATAATACTTGAGATATCATTGGCTTTGAATACTCTAAAGTCGGACTCAGCTGCCTGTGGGAACTGGCTCAGGGGTGCAACAACATGGTTGCTTGATGCTAAGCCTGCCTGGCTGCTGTAATGCAAGCTTTCCATGTTCTCAATCTATGTCTATGTGTCTAAAATAAAGTTAGATATTGTTATATTGTCTAAGGAAAGGGCACTAACTGTTCCCCTTGTCTATTAGTAGAGTAATTAGGAGGTCTTTAATTTCCTGCTCTGGAACAAGCTGGTGCTCTTTCAGGCCATTGCAAAAGCTTTGGAGCTTTGTAGACCCAGTATTGACCAAAGTACTCCAGTTGTTTGCTAAGGAGTTGAAGCAGTGTTATCTGGTTGGATCCGCAAGAATAAGAGTTATCGTGCTATCAAGTTTATCGCGGGGCAATTTAAGAATGTCCCTGTTATTTATTAGCAGGCTCATATAAGCATAAATACAGAGTACCTAGCAAATCCTTAGACTAAACAGAATTCCAAGGCCGAGACGCTTAGCAAGTCTGCTACGCAGCTCACCTTCCCCTGTAAAGTTGGAGCCAGATACGCTGCCGCTGAGCTTTCTGTAACTTGCTTAAGACATGATTTAGACGTGGGTTGCATCGCTGCCAGATGTTATCCAGGACCTTTTCAGCACCAGTACTATTTTTGATTGCCTAATGCTTCTTTGTAAGGGTGGACTCTTGGGCGATTGATACCTGCTTATCAAACCATTCTGAAGCCACAATATACTTAAGAAGGTTGAAGATTACGTTTCTATGCGCCTTGAAAAAAGACGTCTCAATGATATCCCTCCACGATGTGTTATTGGACCATTGAATTTAAACGTCTTTCTGTACCGACCGTACTATCTCTGCATAGATATGCTGGGGGGGTTCGTAAAGCTCCTGGCTGAACTGGTGGACTATATCAATCGCCATTGCTACCGTGATTGGATAAGCGCAAGAGGTGTTTTCATCGTCTTTTGAGGCGTTGTGGGAGGGTTCAAGAGATCGTGCTAGTGAGTTGAAAGGAGTTTTGGAAGCAGGTTCTTGAGGGACGGCCATTGATTCTAGAGATACTGCATGCAAATTAGCTGCTTGCTGGCGAGAAGTCTCGCAGCCGTTTTCCCAGAAGGTGTTTATGGCCTCCAGAGAAGTTGCCTGCGACTGAATTGTCACATCGCATAAGGGTTCACCAGCAGTTTCTTGTAGGTGACTGATTGCGCCATGTGAGGCTGGATGGCTGGTTGTTGATAGATAACCGAACAATTTAGGCGAAGCTCTAGAGGGATCGGTTGTCGCATTGGAGGTAGCATCATAGGTTGTTGCGGGCCTGTTAGGAGTTCCGCGAGAGGCATTACTGCAAAGGTTTGCCTGGTCGTGAGAAGCATCCAAGTGAACATGTTGAGCTGTAGTGGCCATACGCATGCGTTTAAACGGCCTCTCTGAGGTGGGGCAAGTGTTCCGCTATTGTGATTCCGTGGACATAAATATCTCTTGAGGTCCGCCTTCAATATCTGCCAATCTTGTGAATATGTTGACAACTATCCGTATCAAAGCTGAGTGCAAGATCCGATCCCATATGATGCTGTTATGGCTGAAAGGACCCCTACATGCATCAAGGTATTCAGGCATAAGAAAGCCCTAACCAGGCTAAAACAGGGCAAAACACGGCGAGAAGCACAGAGCGCTGCGGTTAGATTTCCTCCGCACCTGGATGATAGGCTCAGGGGTGGTCTGACGCGTAGCGGTCAGGCCTCGCCCACTGGTGCCAAATTTCTTTCCCACTTTGCCATTACATTTTCAGGCCATGGCTGTACAGTCATGAGGATCGCACTGCACAAGCTTTGTGTGCCAAGCTGCAACAATGCTTAGCTGGACGTATGCAAGCCGACGCTACCCATAAGACCTCTCCGGATGGCCTATTCTAATTCCACATCCCGGTATGCTTTCTGTGTCCGGCACATCACCTATTGCCGTTCTTGCCGGTCTTCCCCACCAACCTTGCCTCACCCCTCATTCCCTTCGCTTGTACTCCCAGATAAGCGATGGGTCGTACGCATTGGATTGGATGACATGATTGCCCTTACATGCTCAGGCAGGGGCTCCACCAAACCCCATAAAAGAACGCAGGCTGCAATCGGGAGTGTGGCCATCCTTGGTAAGCCAGACTTTCTTTCTCTGTCACCTCCGTCTTTCGTCTCATCAGGCATCTCGCGCACCTAGTGCTCACCTGCCAGATACTCTTTGCCCTTACCTCCTGGATATGCCTATCACGGATGCGGAAGAGGCCGCCCACCAGCTGGAGGTTGCGGCATCGGATCTGCCGCCCGAGGAGCGGAAAACCGAGTATGCCAACCAGGCCCAAACGCAGCATTGCGAGCGCTGTAAGTCTGCCCCTGGCCACATACTCCCAAAGCTTGACTTTACCCTGATCTGACCAAGATCAGATACATATGTGAACAACGTGGTCACCTGGGACGGGCCCAACGACCCGGAAAACCCTCGCAACTGGCCCCGCGCCAAGAAGTTGATCTTCACACTCGTCGCCTCACTCATGATTTTCACCGTCTCCTTTGCATCCAGCGTGTTCGGGTCCGCGAACAAGGTGGTGGGCGCCGAGTTCGGGGCTTCAAGTGAGGTGATGGATCTTTCCGTGACCCTCTTTGTGGCGGGGTTTGCCACGGGGCCCTTATTCTGGGGCCCGTTCTCGGAGGTGTACGGCAACACGACGCCGTTGGCGGTCGCCGTGCTCGGTGCAGCCATCTTCCAAGTGCCTCTCGGGCTGGCGCACAATGTTCAGACTGTCCTTGTGAGTCGCTTTCTGGCCGGGGCCATCGGCAGCGGCGTCCTGGCCGTGGGCTCAGGCATGTTCTCCAAGATCTTTGGCCCGGTTTCTCGTGCCGTGGCGGTGGGGTTCTCGTCCACACTGATGAATTTGGGTAGTGCGTTGGGGCCGATTGTGGGGTCCTATACAGTGGCTTACGCGGGCTGGCGCTGGATTGCCTGGATCACCCTCATTCTATGCGCCGTGGTCGGCTTCATGGCGCTGTGTACCATCCGCGAGTGCGCCGGGGAGGTTTTACTGGTACGCAAGGCCCGACGCTTGCGCAAGGAGACCGGCAATGCGCAGCTGCGAGCACCACTGGAGGAGGGGGGGATTGACTTTACCGACTTGGTTCACCACCATCTCTCTAAGCCCCTCCGGATGATTGTCCAGGAACCTATTCTCATCATTGTCACCGTGTATCTGACCGTGGTGTATGGCTCCTTCTACCTGGCCTACGATATGTTCACCTACGCCTTCGAGCGCCGCGGCTGGTCCAACACCACCGCCACGCTGCCTTTCATTGCCGTCTACCTGGGGCAAATTGTCGCCGTCCTCCTCTGGACGGCGTACAACCGGGGCCCCTTCCGCCGCAAGCTTGAGAAGCAGGGCTATTGTACCCCAGAGGATCGCCTCCCCCCTATGCTCTGGGGTGCAGTCGTCCTCCCGCCCTCACTTTTCTGGTTCGGCTGGGCAATGCTAACGCACTGGATTGCCCAGGTTATCGCCGCCTTCTGGGTCGGACTGGGCTTGCAGCTGATCTTCATCACTGGCATTGTCTACATCATCGATGTCTACAATACCTGCCCGAACTCGGCCATCTCTATCCACGTGGTCATCCGTAGCCTGGTCTCCTCCACCTTTTCTTTGTGGTGTACCCCCATGTATGACGGGCTCGGTGTCGAATGGACGGCTACTGTCCTAGGTGCCGTGGCTCTTCTGCTGCTGCCTTCCCCGTTCATCTTCCGCCGATACGGCGTGGCGATTCGCAAGTCCAGCAGATTCTCCGATGCCCCCTACTAGAACCCCCCCCCCCCCCCCAACAATTCCCCGAGGGTGATCTCGCCGAGATGGCTGTCTACACTCTGCCATGGCAGTTCGCCTTCTTGACAGGCCTATCCCCTAGAGGCCTCTAGCGATAGACTATATTGTTACCTGGCCTTAATGCATCTTCGATTGTTGAAAACTTCAAATGTACTCGCAGCCTTTATTTACACTCATTAAACCTTTTGTATTCGTAGTCAGGGCGTTCTGGCCATGGATGGGCTGTCATGCGAAAGCTCACTATCGGTTGTGCCGACCTGTTCATGTCTTAATGCGGAGGGCGGCCCCCGGACCTATCCCGACGGCCGGAGTGCCCGACCAGATACTACCTGGACGGTACCAGTATTGCCACTCATCCCCCATTTTAGACGAACCTACCCCAGTGTATGCCTTGAAACCTCGGACCTATCCGATAGTATATCCACTGTGTTGATATCCACCCAATCAACTGTTGCGGATTGAACTTGCCAGTTCAAAGTCTGCCCACCGCGGTTAGTCCCCTCTACCCGGTGTTGCTTAATTCCGGCTGATTCTCTGACCCATTCACCGTGGACTGGAATGGAGGGCCGGCCGTGGTGGTGATGGCGCTTCTGAAATTAGGCAACTGCCGATGGGTTGAGATCCGATCCCCCGCGTGGAAAGCAATGTCGACAATGCAATTAATTTGCGTGTATCGGCACCAGGCACCAAGCTCCCAACCTGCTTCCCAAGTCAACATTTGACATGCAGGGTACGCAATTAGCGAAAATGGTGCGGCAGATTAAGTGGCACAGTAGTTGAGCTTCAAGGCAGGATTCCACGAACATTACTCACAGCCGTTGTAGCTTCTATCTCCGTATCGGAAAGTGAGGATAACCGCCAGTTCGAGATAGGGCGGCTGCTTACGGAGTGCTGCGTGCGGCATTTGGGCACACGTTTGGGGGCATCTTGACGACCGTCTGTCTCCTTACCCACTCTCTCAGTTTTGCCGCACTCCCCAATCGACAGGACCGCCCTATAGGTTGACGGAACCAACCCAATCTTTGGGCTGAGGGAAATGGGCCCCTTGGCATCGATATACCCAGCATGTCATTCGGTCTGAGCTTATGCCCGGAGAGGTAACGTCAGCGTTCCAGATCGACCTAGAATCCCGGCGACAGGTTGGCGAATGTGGCAACCACTAATGTGTCAAGCAATGCACCGCCGACGATGGGGCTGGATGAATCACTGGCAAGGCTTGTCGTACTAGCGGATTATCACAAACGATGCACAGGACTCCGCGAGTGCGGTGGTGGTGGAGAAGGCGTTGGGATTGAATATGCTTCATGCCGGACTTGCACTCGGTCGAACATAGCCTCACTATGCCATCGGCTGTTGGGAATCGGAGCAAGGTCGGGTATCACCGAAAATCAGACAGAGAGGACCGGCGGGAAGTGTCGCGGCGCTGCCGAACAGAAACTCTTTACTCATCCCGATCTCTCGGGAGAAGCGGAACTATACAACTGGATCATCCCACCTATCCTTCGAAGTCGTCTTATCCCGTATTCCCAAGCAGGCTTCTCGGATGACTGCCGCTCTCCACACCCCAATTTCTCCAGAAGGTGCGGAAACCACAATGCCCACCCTCCTTGGATGGTTTAGGTAATGTTTGGCGGCTGTGACGAGCTGAAGCAGCTTGACTTGTGACTTTCTGTGTCACGACCGGGCATTTGCGACTGAGAAGTGGACTCACTCGGATGCTGCCGATGAACTGTGGACGATGCGGTGTGCATTGTGACACACCGTGCCATCATCGTGGAACGAAAGTCTAGCTCTTCACGGAAACTCAAAAGAGCGTAGGTCAAGGCATGACCAAGTCCAGGAGTGCCTCTGAGTAGTACAGAGGAGCATAAAGCGGTGACTCAAAAGTCGATCCCTTCTGGAATGTCACCCCTCCGGAGCTTCAGCGGATGCATCCCACCGGATGTATCCGATAGCTATGATTCACTATGGATCCTCATTTCCTCATTTCCTCAAGCGCTCGAAAGTGTGTCAAATCAACACGCCTGCGCCCAACGCGGAAACTATCGGTCTCATCAATCCTCACATTGGCCCTAGCACAGCTCAACTATGAGCCCTTAGAGAATTGACAGGCGGTAGCTAGCTATCTACTATGTGTGTTTGGCTCCTCCCCTTCCGTCTGGTTAGGTTTACTACGTAGCATTAAAGGAAGACATTCGGCATACCCGAAGCGTTCTGACCGGATGTTCCGGTGATTGCAGAGGTAAGAAGAGAGGTACATACCTGCAGGGTGTCTATAAGTCCCTCCTCGTTCATTGCATTAGGCCAGGCTCATACAGGTATATTCCAAGCAGAAATGGTCGCAGCGGAGAAGCGAGAAATCAAGGCTGGTACCCTACTGTGTAAGCTTCCCCTCGGTGCCGAAACAACAGTCATGCTGTAATCTAATCGAGGATTTGGAACAGTGGGTGCTGGTCTGAACTTCTTTGAGTAAGTTTCCCCGCAAGCTGCCCTTGTCCGGAGAGATGAAGCTAATAGGCCAGAGTGACCTCCTTGGGACAGGTATATTTCATTTCCCTCTATGACGGGAGGCACAATGCCATGAGAGACGGAGACTAACTCCCCCGGAGCCACTCGAGGTCATCAAGACGACCATGGCTGCCAACAGGAATGACTCCTTTGCAGGAGCCCTGCGCAGGATCTGGGCGCGCGGCGGCTTCTTCGGATGTATTACTACTTTAACTCCCCGATCGATCTGAGCATTATCGCTAACGATGACCCTCAGTCTACCAGGGGTTGGTCCCGTGGGCATGGATCGAGGCATCGTCCAAAGGCGCCGTTCTTCTCTTCGTCGCGAGCGAAACCGACCGGGCTGCTCGGTCGCTGGGCTTTGGGAATTTCAGCGCCGGTATCACCAGCGGAATGGTGGGTGGCCTGGTCCAGGCATACGCCACGGTCGGATTCTGCACCTGCATGAAGACGGCTGAAATTACCAAGCTCAAGATCACCGAGGAAGGTGGCAAACCGACGTCAACCTGGTCGACCTTTAAGGAGGCGTACCGGCGGGGAGGCATCCGGGGCATCAACAAGGGAGTGAACGCGGTGGCGGTGCGACAAGTCACCAACTGGGGCTCGCGCTTTGGCCTGTCCCGCATGGCAGAGAATGCTATTCGCTCCGTGACTGGAAAGGACGAGACGCAAAGACTGAACGCTGGGGAGAGGGTCCTGGCTTCGGGATTGGGTGGTGGAATGTCGGCGTGGAATCAACCAATTGAGGTGGTACGCGTCGAGATGCAGAGCCTTAAGGCCGATCCCCATCGGCCTGCCAACCTCAATATGCTGAGCACCGCTCAGTATATATACCAGCAAAACGGACTCAAGGGGCTGTACCGAGGCGTGGCCCCTCGGATTGGCCTTGGGGTCTGGCAGACGGTTTGTATGGTAGCATTCGGTGACATGTACGTGGAACCCTGCATTGGATTGTGTGAAGCCATTGGTACTAATTTAGTAGGGCGAAAGAAGCGGTGGGAAAGATCCTCGGAGAGGGCATCTGAGAAGCAACTATGAGGGAGATAGGCGAGTAGGCTGGCGACTGATGCATCGGGATGATCCTAAGGGCTTTGCGCGTTGATCTTCAGGTGGATAAAAGTAGATCGAAAGGCACTTCTCATTTGTCTCTTTGTAGTAAACAACAAACAATACCCCAAACCTCGTTTAGAATCTATCCATTGTATCAATAGTTTCACTTTACTGTAATAGCTTCGCACACGGAGCAACAAAAGACACAATTGGACAAGCCTATCACTCAAATCATCAAACAGTAAAACTCTATATGAAGTGCGATCACGTATACCCTATGTAGATACTGGGCCTGTTACCTTGTCTGCCCCAACCCGTGCGACCTTTCAGTCGAGGAGAAAGACACATAGGAGACAATAACTCATAGTCGGTATTATCTGATCCTCACAATGGAAGCATCGGTGTCTTACTTGACTGGAGTCAAGAAAGGCAAAGTAGTAAGAGGTACAAATTGCCACAACCAGCAGCCCGCAATGGCGACGTCTATAACCGATTCTTGGCCCTGCACCAACAAAAGACTAGCAGAAGCGGCGCACAGATTACGGGTTGTTGTCTCAAGTTAAGGACTCGGATCCCACATTCATTCCTCCACTCCGGGGGCCCCTGGGTCCCAGTCGGTTACTACCTACTCGTCCCTTCGAGTACATAAGATTTACATAAACAACAACTCCTGAGTCAACAATCCGAATAGCCGTGTACCGCTTATACAACCAAAGACTCTGATAAGATGATTGAAAAGGTTTCAGAGCGAGTGGATACCACTAAGAAATTCTCAGGTCCTACTCCACTACTGCCTGAACAGGGTGCCAAGGGTTCGGCTCGCCAACTCCTTGCCCTATCTCAGTAACCCTTTCCCTTATCTGATTAGATCATTTACATGGTTTCAGGGCCAGTGGATACAGTCATTCTATCCTGCCTCCCCACTGCCATCGTATTCGGAAAGCTCGGAGTCATGCGAAATCAAAGTATCCAAGCCTAAGTCACATACAGTCGAGGTACGGTGGGGCAGTTCTGCCATGGTGGCTTCAGGTCGGTTACGGGTCGGTCATATGTCATCCGTTGACTGGGCATCACATCCGTAGTGTGGTGAGACTCGCTATTCACCCCTTAATCTACAACTACATCAATGACATAACTTGATTCTTTTCGCCTGGACAAAGTTACGAAGGACGGTAGCAGGTATCACTGGGCTGCGATAGCCCCAATCAATCTGGTATAGTGGAGGCGACGCAGTGGACTCGCATCGGACCTCAATAATCCGTCTAGACTCCTGCAGGCTTTGTAGCTATAAGTTGATCCTGGATTCCTTCCAAACTCATCTTCACCCACTCACTCTTTTCCTCAATATCTCCCGAGTGCTCAGACTGTTCTCAAGATTCCCTCCAACAATGAAGACTTGGATTTTCCTGCTTGCGGCTGTTGCAGCTGTCGCAAACGCCGCCGCGGACAATGTTGATGCTGGCGCTGAATCCTCTTTGGCTGGGGTAGAGAAGCGATGCGTTGGCGGTAAGACCCTTGCCCTGCTCGATAATAGCCTGGTTTGCAGATTCTGAGAGAGCAAGCTAAAAAACTATGATTCGACTATCTAGCGCTCCAAGCCTGTTCCTCGAATGCTGATTGATGCAGTGGAGCTTGCTCGTCCCGGCTCGGCAACCGCTGCTTGAGTGCTTAGAGAGCTCGAGATGGTCGGTGGACTTGGTGGTGAGAGCTCTAGAGACAGAATGATGTTTTAGAGGGTCGGTGTCACATATATATACTATCGAAGTCGCGGAATCCTCTTGCATATATTCGCCTCTTTACCACCCTGCCATCAAGACCAGACAATGCAGAGTTTATATGGAAGCATAGATGGAGATTTGTCTCTTGGCGTATTGAACCTCTTCTTGGATGCAAGGATTACGATTACTCTTTATATTTCAAGTCGCAGTCTTGCGTTCTGTTGCCAGCCTGGACGAGGCCGCCGTCACCACTAATTTTGATGGCACAACAGAATTGCAATCACTTGGAGACCGGGGCTTAACAATACAGTACGGGAAACGTAGCACGGAACAGGACATGCAAACTTTGAATATATCAAGATGCGCACACACGCACGCAATCACGCTGGGATCCTTTAACCACTAACTCATCAAATGATGGACAATTGAACTAAAGACCCATCGCAACTCAACTTGATAGCTGACCCCTGACTCAGTAAGCGTAAAGGTTGATCTCCGCTGGGTTTGTAGCCCGGATCTTCCTGTTCTCTCTGACCAAGATGGCTTTCATTACCCAGGCCGAAATCACCACCCCAGCCGAGAAGCCGATACTGCAGTACATGGCGGTCGCGAACCGCGGAGCATCACTATCTGGCCACAGGTAGGGGGTATACACGCTGGCCAGGTTACCCAATGTGTTGGTGATGGCAATAGCCACGGCCTTTTTCTCATCGGTTTGGCCGGTTGTTGCTGCCACCCAAGCGATGTTGATATTATTGACACCATACGTGGCAGCGACGAAAAGGATCATTGCGAAGTATCGGGCGCCGAGGTTCAAGGTACCACACGCCACCGCAAATCCGACAATGGCAAGTCCCTTGGAGATAGTGATGTGCCAGGTTCGCTCGTTGAAGTGGCCCGAGGACCAGGAGACAGCGACAGATGTGAAGGTGGCCACCAGATAGGGCGGGCAGGTGAGTACCAAGGAGATGGTGTCGTTGAACCCGAGAGTCTTCACCACCGTTGGCATGAAGTTCTTGAAGCCATTGGCCGAGAGATGTAGGTTACACATGAGGGCAAAGATCCAAGTCCGATAGTCAGTGGATGCTTCGCGCAGTCCCGTCCAAGTGCTGGTGCTTTCTCGTTTCTGCGTTGTATCGCGGGCGATGCGGTCGTGCGCCAGTTGCCGCTCCTCGGGCGTAAGCCATGGTGTTTGGAGTGGCGAGTTGGGGAGAATGAACCAGGCTAGACTGGCCACTGCTATGGTCACGACGCCTTGGATTAGGAAGAGCCACTGCCATCCGGCGAGGCCATGCTTCTGGTCCAGACCGGCGAAAACACCAGCCGATATGAGGCCGGAGAAGGCACTCGCTAACATGTTCCCGGTGTAAAGCACGGCCATGCGCGTAGTGGCCTCTTTCCGGTTGTAAAAGAGCGAGATCATGAATAAAGCGCCGGGGTAGAAGGGGGCCTCGACTATCCCAAGAATCAGGCGGCAAACCAACATCCCATGGTAGTTCTTGACGAGGCAGGTTAACGTGGACACAATGGCCCACGCCATCATAAAGCCGGACATGTATCTCGCGGGTTTCACACGATTGAGGAGCATATTTGAAGGGACTTGACCCAGGAGGTACCTGCGCATGAATTAGCTTGATGGTGGGGAATGCAGAAGGTTGCGGATACCCGACAAAAAGGATGCTGACACAAGTATTATACTGCGTTCCGTGCAACTTCAGATCTTGAGAAAGACTGTTGAGCTTCCCATTTACCATGGCGTTGCGATCGAGAAAGTTGAGAAAGTACATGACCCACAAGATTGGCTTCCCCCCGTCAGCACAGGACTATCCATCGAGGGCTCTGAGGGGGTAATGACACTTACCATCATATAAGCATCAATCTTTCGCACCAGCCTGATTTCTTTCGGGTCCACTTTCGCGGTGGAACCAAACTGATCATGCTGTGGAGTCGTCTGAATCCCTTTCTCTGCCTCCTCCACATGCTCCATGAAGCCGTCACTCTTCTTGACATTAGTATCCATGATGGCCGTTTAGGTGGGACTCGACAACTTCTGCTTAGTTTGAGGTTGCTCAGGCGGTCAGAAACTGGTCGATGGCTCGGCCTTTGGGGCCTGGTTTATATGAATCGCGAAGCACCACCAAGTGAGGAGGCTGCAGGTGACGGCTGGAGTCTACCCCATGGGGAATCTGCTGCCAAGAGATACCACTCTCTGCCTTTCTGCCAAGACCGGAACGAGAGGTCCAGGTGAACCCCCGCATCTCACAAACACAAGGACCGGAGCTGACATATCCGAGAAATGAGAGGCCTTTTCCGTCCCGCGGTCCGGTATGAGAGGCGATAGGACAATGACATGTATGCGGCCTGGTTTTGAGTTTCTTCAAGAATGCGCGAAGCGAACGGATAGCTGACTTGTTGCTCAACCTGCCCTTTCCTCTTATGCCGATAGGTGAACTTGACAGGAAGGAATTGACTTATCCGATGACTGCTGGGAGTAACGGTTCTTTTCCGTGTGACACTCTACTTGCGGCGCCAATCCGGAACATGCTGTTGACTTCGTCTGTCTGGCAACCCATGATGTGGAGATGACGAGGTTGGTGGTGCGTATTGTGGGCATATCTCGTGTGCCTGTGCACCATTGAGTACGCGGGGGTATTAATAATGAGACTTGTTTTCCGACAAATTTTGATTATTGACGACTTGTCTACGGTGGTCAAACTTGACCGTGCCCTAGGGAATTATTCCGGTTATACCTCTCATTCCGCTGCACGAATATGCCACTGAGCGAGGAGAAGCTTCGAGGTTTGTTTTGGGGGCCGCGTTTTCAGCTTTCCTGTGAATGGGTATCATTACACAGTGCCCGAGGCCATTGGTTTTATCTGAATTATCTTCAACCTGGTTGTCTGACTCTGTTGGATTAGCACTCTGGGACACGGTTCCCACAGAAAAACACGCTTATTAGATAATTTTATGCATATTATGCTCATAATCTGTGCGTTGGGGGCCTCGTCCCAAGTCATTCTTGGCATTAGAACGCGCAGTAATGCCATTGCGCCACACTGCTTCAAAACATACTCCTTATTCAGTCTTTGCTGTTCGGATGAGGCGATTCGACATTATCATCTAAGGAGAAAGGATGGTATGGTTCCCATTGGGTACATGCGCTCATGGTGCCGCTGGATCAACTACCTCAACCCTGTCGCCTATGGGTACGAATCTCTAATGGTCAACGAGTATCACGCCCGGAGATTCACTTGCTCTTCGTACATCCCCGTCTATGAGGCTTCCGTGGCCACCAGTATGGTTTGTGACGCTATTGGCGCGGTGCGTGGACAAGCTGCCGTCAATGGAGATGCTTATATCACCTCGGCCTACAGCTACCACCATAGTCACAAATGGCGCAACGTCGGCATCATCATCGCCATGATAATTTTCAATCATCTGGTCTACTTCCTCGCGAGCGAGTACACCACAGCCAAAAGGTCCAAAGGGGCACTCTTGGTCTTTCGACGGGGGTTTATTTCCCGATCTCCCCGGCGGGCCAAGGGGGACATCGAAAACCTGCCTTCGGGCCAGGTGGCCGCAATGCTTGAAAAGCCAAGCAATCACAGCGATTCCAGTCGCGAAGCAGTCTTTGACGGCTCAAGAAGTGTGTCCCACTGGAGTGATGTCTGTTATGAAATGAAGATCAAGGGCAAGCCCCGGCGCACTCTGGACCTTGTCGATGGCTGGGTGAAGCCGGGCACATTGACAGCCCTAATGGGGGTGTCCGGTGCGGGCAAGACAACCCTGCTAGACTGTCTTGCAGACCGTCACACTGGGGAGGGTGTACTCACAGGTGAGATGCTGGTCGATGGGAAGCTGCGCCATGAGAGCTTCCAGCGCAAGACTGAGTATGTGCAACAGCAAGATCTACACCTGGAGACGAGCACCGTCCGTGAGGTGAGTACGACCCGTCGCGACCACTTTTGGATCTACCATGCTTGATACTCACTGTTTCCATTGACCAGGCTTTGGCCTTTTCTGCACTTTTTCGCCAGCCAAAAAGTGTTCCGGAAGCGGAAAAGCTGGCCCAAGTCGATGAGGTGGTCGAGCTCCTCGACATGCAGGAGTACGCAGATGCTGTTGTTGGCGTTCCCGGAGAAGGCTTGAATATTGAGCAACGCAAGTGTCTTACCATTGGCGTTGAGCTCGCCGCTAAGCCACCTCTGATACTCTTTATTGACGAGCCCACGTCGGGGCTGGACTCTCAAACCAGCTGGGCGAACCTCGACCTGTTTGTCAAGCTCTCCAGGGCGGGTCAATCCATCATTTGCACAATCCACCAGCCTTCTGCCATGTTGTTCCAACGCTTTGATTGCTTGTTACTTCTTGCTGAGGGGGGGAAGACTGTGTACTTCGGCAAGTCCTTCGGTTCCTTGATAACCTCAAGCACCCGCTAACTAATCCCCCGCCATAGGTGATATCGGACCCAATTCCAAAACCCTGGTGGAGTATTTCGAAAGCCATGACGCCAAGCCTTGCCCTCCGAATGCCAACCCGGGCGAATGGATGCTGGAGGTCATTGGAGCCGCCCCTGGCTGCGAGTCAGACGTCGATTGGCACGAGGTCTGGCGCTCCAGCCAAGAATACCGTAATGTTCAGGACGAGCTGGTCCGACTTCGGTCGTCAACGACCCCTCAACCTCTGGTCAATGACAATCACGATTTGGCGACCTATCAGGAATTTGCGGTCTCTCCATGGCGTCAATTTATCTTGGTTGCCGCCGTTCGTTTCAGCAGACCTGGCGCACGCCGGCATACATCTACTCCAAACTGCTGCTCTGCACTGCAACAGCTTTTTCATCGGGCTGGTGTTCATTCACTCTCCACTCAGCATCCAAGGGTCCCAAAATCAGATATTTGCAATTTTCGAACTGATGAGCATCGTGGGGCAGCTGGTTGACCAGCAATTTCCACACTTCATCGCGCAGCGCTCTCTTTACCAAGCTCGCGAGCGGCCGGCCAAGACCTACAGCTGGCAAGTGTTTATCCTGAGCCAAATCCTGGTCGAGATCCCCTGGTACACGCTGGCCTCCGTCCTCATGTGGGCATTTTCCTACTTTCCCGTGGGGCTCTATACGAATGCCGACGCAGCCGGCCAGGGCACGGAGAAAGGAGTGCTCATGTGGCTCCTCTTCTGGGTGTTCCTGCTGTGGGTGTCGACCTTCGCGCACTTGTGCATCTCATTTACCTCCTCAGCCAATGACGGAGGCAATGTGGCTAATTTCATGTTCGTCCTGGCCTTCATTTTCTGTGGGGTGCTGGCGTCCCCGGACCAGATGCCTCGGTTCTGGGTCTTTCTGTATCGTGGCTCGCCTCTGTCCTACTACGTTGCAGCCGTTCTGTCGACAGGTCTGGCCAATGTTAACGTGGCATGTCCGAGCAATGAGTTTACCGTGCTGGATCCACCCCCGAGCCAGACGTGTGGGGAGTACCTGGCCGATCATATATCCATTGCGGGGGGGTATCTGCTCGACGCGAATGCCACGAGCAATTGTCAATACTGCAAGGTCACGGAGACTAACGTATATCTGGCGGCAATCCAAGCCGACTATGAGACTCGCTAGCGCAACTTCAGCATCATGTGGGTGTATGTGGCCTTCAATGTGGTTGGGGCGCTGGCCTTGTACTGGCTGGCCCGTGTGCCCAAAGGAAACAAGGTGTCGAATCACGGATCTTCGCCAGAGTAGTCCTCGAGTACGGCCGTACGGTTGTCCGACCCTCAAAGACGTATTCCTGGCCATCACAGATTATTACCTGTTGGTGTGAGGAAATGCGACCGTAGGGAAGATGAGGTGGTGACTCTTGCTTGAGCGCGGCGGACATCCGAGTCGGTCTCCAAAGACCTCGATGGGGGATCTCGCGCGGTTGAAAACAAATTATGTCCACCATCTGTCCCACACCTGTGATTATTAGCACTGTTGACTGTGGCAATCTTAGTTTCATGTCAACTTCGTGGTGCGTGGATTGAAGATTGGGAACTACATGATTGCGTGCCGAGACATGGTTATATATTCCGTGTTAGGGTTGCGCTGACATCCATTCTTGGTCTACACTCCCACCTCATCAATTCCACATTAATCAATATCTTGCCAGACTAAGCCAATGTTGTCTTGCGTGCGGCCTTTCGCCGCCCCATAACAATGACGGGAGTGATGGTCAGAATCATGTTAGCCACCACGACAGCGGCTTGTGTGCCAAACACTGCGGCGACTCCATCGCGCTGGATCCAGGCGGGCTGGAAATAGCCCACCGAAAACCCACTGGCGGTGCGCCAAGCATTGATGATGGCGGAGACAACCGTGGACTGCTCAGGATATTTCTCCAGCGCATAGGACGTGATGGATCTAAGGCCATTTCATTAGAGTGACACCATGTCTGGAGGGGAGGCAGGCAACCTACACAGTACTCGCAACCATGCCGGCGACCACCATCAGCCATCCGAAGGCCAGCCCAATCCAATGCTTACCGAAGTTCAGCGCCAGGCCGTAGGTAAGCAGGCCACAGACCATGGTGACGATGGCCGCCCAAACCCCATGAAGTCGCTTCTCTGTGTAGTATGTTGTCGGGCTGGACCGACCAACCCAGCCGTTGAACCAGTAGCCGTAGACCCAGCCTGGACAGTCATAGCATTGATAAGCTTTTCATGCGCACGTTGCTCTTACCGAGGAGGGCGCCAAGAATAGCAGCCCATCGGAGTGAGGACGACTGGACTGTGTTGAATAAGTATGGTGGCTCGGCCACGAAGGTGGACACGGTGACCGTGATACCTGCATTCGAAGCCCAGTTAGAGCGATCCTGACCAAATGTAGCCATATGTAAGAAAGAAACCCATACCAATTGGCCAACAGAAGTTGACCATGGTCACGATACCGGTCAGTAGCAAAGAAGCCTTGAAGATGTAGACCAGCATGGTCCCACACCAGTAAAGCAAAGTCGGTCCAGCAGGCAGATTGTGGTTCCTGACGCCGAACATTGGCAACAGACGACGGTTCCGCTGACACTGGCGGCCAGGCACAAAATATGTTTCATGGCCAAAGCAAAAAATGAGGACTGTGGACAAGCCGTAGAAGACAGTAAGAATGCCGAATGAAACTTTCCAGTCGCTGGCTGCCCCGATATATCCGGCCAGCGCAGGCCCCAGAGACGGTAAAACGAGGAATGTCGCCCCCCTGAAAGGGTGGAAAGGAGTTAGCAGTGACACGGGTTGTTACCGCTTGGACGCTCATCAGATATTGATCATCTGTGACCACTCTATACTAGATAGTCAGTAGGCTTGACTTGCATCCAGTTCATATCACAGATGCCGCACCTTCCGGGGGGAACATGTCATGGATGATCGGCAGACCGACCACCTGGGGCACGGTGCCGAAAAGGCCGTGAAGCGAGCGAAACGTGGTGAATATGCCATAGTCGTTGAATAGTGTAGCGCCGACGACCATGAAAGTGGTGATAAATTGAGGCCAGAGCCAAACCGGAAGCCTGGACCAGCATCAATGTCATGCCGCTGCCACGCGCACCCTGGACGGTTATTGTTGCATTGGTGATGCAGAGAATAGTAATAGACGTACCCGTCAGCTAAGATAGAACTCGACATAAGCGCAAAAAACAAGAGGCGCTTTTCCCAAGGGCGCCAATTCCTAGGATTGCGCTGCTCATCCCCATCAGGACTGCTCCTAGCTAACGTCCCAGTCACCTGAATGTGTTCAGCCTTGTTATCGTGACTGGTTGCGCGAGCACCAGGGCAATCCTTGATTGGGAGTTCCGCCATGGAAGCAGTTGTGTTCCAGAGAGGATTCTTCAGTCAATGGTTCGGGCAGAAGGGTGATAAGATTGAGAGAAGGACTGGTGGGTGGGAGCTGCTGAGTGTGGGTAGGGAACTGAGTGTGGGCAGGGGACTGAGTGGGAGGCAAAAAATTACTGTACTACTAGTTGACGCCTGTCCCGCGCTCGACAGAGATCATCTTATGTGACTCCTTGGAATGAGAAACAAATGAACTGACGCAGTATCTCGACACTTCACTCGGCGTATCTCATAATCTAGGCCCTACCTAGAGGCTTGCCAAGAGAAGCCGTGTGGGAGGCATCCCCACTCACATCTTCCCACCTGTTACTATTCCGTTTCATTCCCCATTTCATTACACTTTGTTGACCCCAAGTAACTATTGGAAGCTAGTAAAGGCCGGCGGATTCCTATATATTAGGCCTCTGTGGCCGGAGCACGACACAGCGGACTTCCTGCGCTTAGCTACCCACAATCCCTGCCGACCTTCATCTCACGCTTCACAATGTCCGCACAAATGACCGGAATCCAGCTCGCAAAGACAGTCACTTCGGTTAGTAATAGGGACACAAATGCAAACGCTCCTCCCTGGAGGTGACTACTCAAGTATTGACTATGGCGGGGATAGGTTGCAGCGCTGGGGTTCGTGCCAGTGGCCATCAAGTTCGGGTTGTTCGACATTCTCGTGGAGATTGGGAAACCTGCCCAGGGGAAAGAAGTTCTCATGGCGTACCAGCACTCTGCCAACGGTGATGAGAAGAATATACCCTGTATGTGACTTGCACTCCTGCATATAACGCCGGACCAGGTTCTGGTTCTGATCCCATTCTCGGTTCAGGTCTTCAGTTGATCGGTAAGCTTGGGCCGGAAGGGTCTACACTTTCACTTTAGGAACAGTAATAACTCTGGAGGAAATCCAGACGACGCATTGTACGCCATGGCGGGACTCGGTTTGGTGGACATGACAGTCAAGTGCGCCTACTCCGCCAACGACATTACCAAGCATTTAGTGCATACACCCTCGGCTCAACACGGAGCGTTGCATTTGTGAGTCGCCGCATCTCAAACCCACCTGGCCCACATCAATCTAAGAGTCCTAGCACGACCGAAGCTCTCCTGGCGGGTGCATTTCTCATGCGTCGACTGGAGAGTGATGGCTATCAATATCCATTCCAGGAGCTCCAGACACCATTGCAGTTTGCATACCAAAAGATGGGGAATGACGAGCTGGCCCAACAGCATACGTATGATATTATGGCGGCTGAAGGACGAATGGACAGCTTCAATCGGTTCATGGTGGGCAAGTTTATGAAAACAGCCACCGCTCCGGAACGACTGGCACGGTTACGGTACGATCTCGAACCAGTCCTCCAGGACGCCAGGTCTCGCCGCGTCATCGCGATGGTGGACATCGGTGGCGGCCGCGGGGAAATGATGCTAGAATTCAAGCAGGCTTTTCCCGACTTGACCGACAAGGATCTGGTGGTGCAGGAGTTCAACCAAGAGATCCGGGAGATCCCCGGTCTCACACTGTCCACATGGGACTACAAGGATGATGGCAGTAAGCAACCGATTGAGGGGGCAGGAGTGTATCACTTGGCACATATTCTGCACAATCTCCCTGATCTAGATGCCGCACGCCTGCTGCAAAAGCTCTCGCAGGCTATGCACCCACAGTCGCGCTTACTGATCCATGAGTTCACCAAGAATGCCAACAATGCAAAAATACATGCCAGTATGATAGCGTTGTTTGGGGGGCGAGAGAGAAGTGCGAGCGAGTGGCGCCAGCTGGCGGCGGTGGCAGGCCTCAGGGTCACCTTCGAGGCCTGTCCGGAGACAGGAGAGGGGCTTGTGGAGATGAGAAAGCTTTGAATCAGTCACTGAGCTTGTTGTTGCTAGGATGTACTTTGTAGAATAGGTACTGCACTACTATTTATTCCCTGGTTAATTCCAACCACTCACCGGGGGATATTACGGCTAGTTCCGAGCCGGGTGGAGCGTGGCGCGGGGAGACATCCCAAACCTGTATCAAACAGAGAGGATCCACGATACTAGCTCGTGCTTACTATTTCACCCTCCATATCACCCTCACCATCAAATCAAAAATTGGAGTCACCCACTGAGTCGGCTGTTACTGCGTATATAGCCCCGGGACCCCTTTCCCCAACTCCTGCCCTACTCCCGCCCAAACCGATTGACCGAGCTGCCTGGTGGGGACGATCTCTTGGCTGCTCCTCGTTCTCAGGAGCCCTAGATTCCCGGATGTCTTCGAAGCCTGAACTGTCGTTGGCTTGGTTGATCCCAATATAAGAACGTCTAAGCACAAATCATCTCGGAAGACAGAGCGTTGGTGAAAAGCCGTGTCTACCCTTACAATGCCCAGACGCTCTTTCCCTCACACAACATGGCCGCCGAATACAAGACTGATCTCAACTATGGTCCGCCTTCCCTTCACATTGTATTGTTCCAGGGATGATAGCAACACTGAAAGACTAACCACCATCACGCTGCAGCCACCCCGTACATCTATGCTTCATGGGTTGGACACCCCCGGCTAGCTGGATCATAAGGCCCGTGACAGTCATGCTTATCTGTCGTTCTAGGCATTGACCGCGATTGCAGGATTGGCATTGTTATTCCGTTTTGCCATCAAGTCCTGGATCCGAAGGGCTTTGCCCCGTGTCAGCTCCCCGGACCGACTCTGGGAGTGGGAAGATCTGTTCTACGCCGCGGGTTATAGTTTCGACATTGCGCATATTGTGCTTGTGCAAAGAAGGTTTGACTCTGGCCCAAGCGACCGTAAAGCCCGATTCCTCTGATCAACCTATTTATGACGCCGGACTCGGGCGACATTTGTGGTTCCTGACTAGTGGTGAGCTCCACGGCACACTGAAGAACGAGTTGATTTCGCAGCCTCTAGGTACTACTTATCTCGGTCCACCACGTTCTCAATGTGCCCTACTAATGGATTCCTAGCGGTTCTTGCCTCGATGTTGTCTCGCACCGGGATGATGTGCTTTCTCCACAGTTGCTTTAGTGGCGCCGACCGGCGGATTCGCATTCTAATTGTGGTCTGTATGGGTGTTCAGATTATCATAAGCATGATTACAGTGGTCCAAATCATCGTCCAGTGCGGGTCGAATCCATACCGTACAGTAAAATCCCTTCTTTCCTTGCATCATGACCGAAGCCCTCGCTGATCGACCTTGTGAACTCTTCCAGGCCGACCCAGTGCACTACTTCCATTACATGTGGGACGACCTGCCTTCCGACAGTTCAGTCATCTGCCAGTCACCGAGCGTACAGACAATGGTTGGTTTTGTTCAAGGAGGTAACGTTGCTTAGTCGCCGCCCTCAGTGAAAACCCTTGGATCCTGATGCTGCCGTAGGGTTCAATTCCGGAATCGACTTGTTCTTGACAGCGCTCTCAGCGATACAACTATGGCACTATACGATGCGAGCGACGGATCGGGGGCCATCACACAGTGAATCCTTCTGTTCGCGGTTTCGAAAAATCCCTCGCAGATCGCGAAATCGGCGGTTGTGGCAAACCTGCGCCTTGAGCGGTCCGTTGCTATTGTCGGGCATTGCGTCGATTATCAAAACATGGGTACGTCGTTTCGTTTCTTAGAGAAGCAGGATGAGGAGGACTGAGCCGTCGATATCTAGTTACTCAAGGCTATCGGAGAAAGACATAATAATACCCGTGAGTGGTGCCTTGCATTCGGAGGGTTTGAGTTCCCATCCTAATCTGTCCACTGTTCTTGGTAGATAACATAGTGCCATTCGTCCTGTGGGCGAAGTAAGGTTCCACTGTTCTCAGCTGTTATGTGACAAGTATCAGCTAATTCATACCAAGGATTGAGAATTATAGCATCCTGCTCGCGACCTGCGCCCCTATTATCCGGCTACTGGTGTCGAGTGTCTCTAACAATGAATCAACGAGCAAGGATTACCCTGGCTCTGGAAATCGATCTGGCGGAGCGAGCCAGGGGCTAGAATTGAACACTGTAGTCCACACACAGAACCAGAACACGCTCGTTCTCACTATGCCCGTCCAAGACACGCACAAAGGTCACATTTCGTCAACAGCCGAGTGTATGGGAATATTCGGACGGACATTAATCTTGACTTTGATTCAGATAGGTCATCTACGAAACGCCTCGTGGACTAATTAATATGATAGCTGTACCTCCGCTGATTACTCCCACTCCTATTTCTTTCTGCTAGGGGTTGTTGGATACGTGCACAGACAAACCCGAACATCAAATGCATTTCCCTCTTAGTAACAAAGATGCTCTGTAACAGCCTTTTTGAGGTGGACCCCGAGGATCAACCGCCAGGTGCGTGGGTTGGCTGCTCTGGACACACTCGGGGTCTTCCGTGCGGCCTATCTTGCTATGGAAGAAGTTTTGGAGGAAATAGTCCAGCAATCAGACTCAAAGACACGTAAAGAAGGAACGTACCTGTCGACTCCTGAATGACGACGGTGTCGCGGGAGCGCGGATGGATTTCCCCGGAGCCAATGCTGGGTATGGAGATCAATTGGTGATATATTAGCCTTCAGCTGCATACAAAGAAAGTCAATTCATCGACCCCTGATCATCACCACCACCACCACCACAATCACAACGATCCATAGTTTTCACCTTGTTTGCTCAACACCTAAATCGTTTGCTGTTTGGAACCCTTGCTTTATAAAGAGAATGGATCTTTACTGCGCAGCCCCTTACTACCACCCCTGCTCACCATAGCCGCAACGAACCGCCTCCACGGGATTCTCAGCGACAGCCTTCGTTACGAACCATGTCCGTCCAGGAGAATACTGGTTGCAGCAACGGTCAGTCAGTCATCTGTCTCCCAGGTGGTGCGATCAGAATCTGAAGCTAACTGCTATGAGTCTTCAGCCGGGTCCTATGTAGCTGCTTCATGGGTTTGCACTTCCTCTGCCAGCACTCCATACACGCATACCATTTTGATTCCATCTTGTAGGCATTGTCAATGATAGCAGCCCTGACCCTGCTGGCCCGATACAGCATCAAATCCTGGATCCGCTGGGCCATCCCCAAAGTTAGCTCGCCGGAGCGCCTATGGGGGATCGAAGACCTCTTTTACTTCCTCAGTTATAGCTTCGATCTCACGCAGATGGTTTTGTTCCAAAAGAGGTTCTTTCCATGCCCCTCCTCAGGCGCTGCCACTCCGCCCATGACTCTAACGATCCTAGCTTTGACTCCGGACTCGGGTGTCCCGCATCGACCTTGATTGGGTCCCAAATCAGTGACATCTTGAAGTATTCGTATACCGGCCAAATCATTGGTGAGTGCCTAAGCGATAGTCAACCTGGCTGCAGCCATGTCGTCCCATTAACATGGATACTTAGAGGTCATTGCTTCGACGCTCGCTCGGATTGGAATCATGTGCTTTCTCCTGCGGTGCTTCAACGGGGCTGACACGCGTCTCCGTGTCACCATCCTGATTTGTATCGCGGTGCAAATCATTGTCAATTTGGCAACGGACTTACAGGTTCTTTTGATGTGCGGTTCCAGAACTTCTCACTCGGTAGGGGGCACTTCTATCCTCCCACCATCCCAGTCTCGTGTTCCACGCTCACGCGACTTGTGTAGGCCAACCGACTTGCGTATTTCCACTACATTTGGGATCCCCTCCCACCGGATGGGTCTGTTGTGTGCCAGCAACCCACCTCGCAACTGGTCACCGTATTTGTCCAAGGAGGTAGTTCTCAACCCGCCTCTTTCGCATCGCTGTTGCTAAATCCGCAGCTAGGGTTGAACACCGCGCTCGATTTCTTCTTGGCTGTTCTTGCCGGGGTGCAGCTCTGGCGCTTCCCACTGGCCCGTAAAGATGGCAGTCACTCGTTTATTTCGCGCTTCAAGAAGCTTCCTCGGGGGGCTCGCAACCGGCGCTTGTGGCAAACTGCTGCAATCAGTGGACCGCTGCTCCTCTCGGGAATTGCATCCCTGGTCAAGACGACCGTATGCAGGGTGAGCGTTCCTCGGAGCCTGGCGAAGGCCTTGCTTGGCTAACCAGTCGGTCGTGCAGCAACTCTATACGGTGAATAGCTTTGATGCCATGGCTGGTGAGATTGACCGTCGTAGGGGGTGCTTTGCTCGTGAGGACTGACCTTGATCGATAGATGCTATTGCACTATTCATTCTATTAGTGAAGTAGGTCTCGCCTATACTCTTCCTCTTGCGTGACCACTCCACGGGAGACCTCCTGACTTTCCCATCTCCAGAATTGAGAACGCCTGCCTCTTGATCGCTCCCTGTGCACCTGTATTCCGATTACTGTTTTCGTTGGTGTTGAAGACCGGCGCCCAAAATTCAGGATACCCCTGGTATGGCAATCAGTCGGGTTCAGGCGGCCAAGCGCTGGAGTTGGAGACCGTCCCACATACTCAAGTGCAGGGAACTGTGGTTATGTCAACGATGGACAAAAACACGCGAAGCGAACCGAGTGAAGCTGTAATCATTCGAACCGATATCATGGTGGAATATGGCTCGGAACGAACCGCTTAGATTCGGGAGCTGTTTTGGAAGGATAAGGGCAAGCGGGGGGTGGGGGGTTGGGGGTGTGGCGTGACAGTGTTGGATGGAGGAGCGGGTGGCTTTGCAACATGTCGACCGATATGTACTGTTACAGTACTTTCAGTCTTGTATTAGCATTGTGATTTCATTACTGTAGATCGTTGATCCTGGACAGGCATCCGACCCGAGGCACGACTGGTCATAACTGGAATTACCCCGCAACTGCGGCTGCCTCTCTTATAATTCTTATAATAACCATCCCTCAATGCTGATTCTCCCCGGGTCCTCTTCTATTGGAATTTATCTCCGGTAACAGATTCGCATCCACGCACCATGACCATTCACATGGACCTCCCCGAGACCATGCGTGCTGTGGTCTTCCGCGGTCCCTATGAGGTGGCCGTGGAGGACCGGCCCACCCCCCAGCTACAAACCCCCAAGGATGTCATCCTCAAGGTGTCTGCCTCGGCTTTATGCGTAATTTCCCCTAGCAACTGCCTTAAGTCACACCTTTGATTCATCATATCTGAGATATCTGAGACCATCCAGGGCTCCGACCTGCACTTCTACCGCGGCCACCTGAAATGCCCCACCAATTTCATCTGCGGCCACGAGTTCGTCGGCACCATCGCGGAGAAAGGCGAGGAGGTAACCAACTTTGAAGTCGGCGATGAAGTGGTGGTCCCCTTCTACGCGACCTGCCAGGAATGTTATTACTGTGTGCGTGGACAAGCCAGTCGATGCAGTCAGGGCTTCCTGTTCGGCAACTCGGCCCCGGCCAACACCATCGACGGCGGACAGGCCGAATACGTGCGGGTGCCCCTGGCCTCAACCACCCTGGTCCCCAAGCCCTCCAGCGTCCCCGACCATATGCTCGTCCTTATGGCCGATATCTTCCCCACCGGATACTTCGCGGCCTCACGTTTCCTCGCCAATCTGACCCAACGCGACCGTAACGAATACACTGTTGCCATCGTGGGCTGCGGGCCCGTGGGCCTATGCACTATCGTGAGCGCCCTCACCATGGTCTCGACGGTCTACGCCATCGATTCCGTCCCCGAGCGCCTCACCGAAGCCGAACGCCTCGGCGCGATCCCTCTCCCTCTCTCCTCGGATCCCGTCGCCAAGATCCGCTCGGTGACCGACGGTCGTGGCGCGGACGTGGTCATCGAAGTCGTCGGCCATGCTGACGCCTTCATGATGTGTTTCGACATGGTCCGCCCGTGGGGCACCATTCACTCGATCGGTGTGCATAGCGAGATGCTGCCGCTGAATGGGCAGCTGTGCTACGGCAAGAATGTCACCATGGCCTTCGGACGCTGCCCCGTGCGCAGCATCTTTGACGAAGCCCTGGGCGTCTTCCAGAAGGTGTACCCCAAATTGGAATTCCTGTGTAGCCGCGTCGTGCCCCTCGAGGAGGCCCCGCAGGCGTATCGGGACTTTGAGGCGCGAAAGGCGCATAAGATTGTCTTTCGACATGGGGGGTGATTCGGTAGTACGCGTGGTTCCGCGTCTTTGCCCTATGTGGATGGAGGTGCTTGCAGCTCGGAATGGGGACGGGAGGGAGAGGGTGGTTTGAGCCGCGACTTTACTGTAAATCATTCTTATTCTTCTCATTCATCAATGCTTCAGCTAAAGAATCCATCCTCCGCTGCCGCTTTCGTCGCCGACTCGTGCGCTCCGCGCTCCATGCGCTCTTGATAGCCCGATCCATAGATCATCAGACCCGCCTTGACCAGCTGGTCCTTTTTGTATTGAAACTCGCGCAAAGCCATCTGCAGAGCGGGCACCTAGAAGCAACGACTTGGTTAGTGATAGATTTGGCGTGACTAGGCACCACGCGAGGCCACGAACATTGACTTGACTCCATCTCTCGAACGACATCTCCTCCTCAATCATCCCCTCCCCCTTGGCTTCATGATAGTGCATGCGCGCTTTGTGGTGCTGGATCTTGAAGTTCTTGGCCGCGTCGCCGAACTGGTGCCTGGCGATCTCGAATCGCGGATCATCGTGGCTGCCATGGAGTCCCTCTGTGTTGGTCAGGTAGTCCCACAGACTGAGGTCCAGGGGTTTGTCGGTAGGGCAGGCGTGGGGAGGCATTGCGATTAATGAGGAGATGGTGAGAGGTATGGGGGGGTTCCAAGACCGCGTGTGGCATCTCGCTCTACATATGTGGTCCCCGTCGGGTGTTATTCCCATAGCTCAGGACAGCCAGGGTGGCGCAGCCTGGTTCATGAGGCCGTGCACGGCTGGCCATCGGGTATCTTGTCCCGATCGCGGCGGGATACGATGCCAACCCTCTCGAGACCCACCAATTGACTCGCAATTGTCTACGGGATGAGTTGACAGTCTGCGTAAGTAGTTTATAGTTTACCCATGGCCAATCTACTCACAATAAATCATTCATGACAGAATGCAACACGGCTGACCATAAATCGGACGGGCTTATCATATTCGACATAACGTTATCAGGTTGACCGCCTGCAGCGGACGGTCCCTACACTATCCGATGGACTGTGTTCGAGCCAATCGCCACCCCTCACCCCTCAGCTGAAAACCTCGGCTTGCTTCTGCAGATCCAGAAAAATGCCCTTGTCATGCCCAGGAATCACCTGCCCCTTGGTGATGCGCTGCAGGTGCTTCAGCCGTTGCGTACTCCGGAACCAGGAGGGGTGATCACGTGCCAGCCAGCCCTGAGGGATCCCATCGCGCCACTGCAGCCATCGCAACCGATTAGCTAGCTGGTCACTGGTGAGGAAAACGGTCACATACATTCTCAATGACATGGCAATGATCACTGATGAAGAAGAACGTGCCCGTGTCGAGCATGTTAATCTGCATCCCAATGAGCCCCTCCGTATGGCCGGGGAGATGGTGGAGGGTGATGCCCTGGCAGAAGTCGAGTGTCTGGTCGTTGAATGTCTTCCAATTCCTACCGAGATGCATTAGCCCAGCCTCCTTGACGAAAGTCTGAGCGGAAAGGAGCATACAGAGATAGCTTCAGGTAATGCTCCAAGTAGACCCCACTGTCCGCCCCGGTCGCGACCGACCAAAACGCACTGGTCAGCTCCTTCTCATGTACCCAGATCTCAACGTCCTTGCGATCAAAGAACTCATCCAGGCCACCGGCATGATCCAGATGTAGATGCCCGATGATGATCTTGCGGATATCCTCGATGCGATGGCCGGTGGCCTCGACGGCGGCGCGCAGCTCGTGGCGGGGCTCGTAGCGCACGCGGGCGAAAATGTCGACCGCCATGGGGCCCCAGATTTCGGGGTAGTCCTTCCCACTCCCGGTCTCCCAGAGAATCAGTCCTTCATGGGGGTGGTCGATCAAAACGCAGTACATGGGCATCTCGCAGCGTTCGTTGACAAAGGAGCGGTGCTCGGTGGATTTTAGGCTGGTGTTGCCGCCGCGGACGACAAAGCCCTTGTCGCATTCCAGCCAGCCCACTTCCAGAAGGTGGAACTTGGTGCCCAGTGGGCAGACATTCGAGATGGCATTGGGGACGGCGCCTTGATCGAGCTGGGTCTGTATTCCAGACATGATGATTGATGATCTGTAAATCACAGTCTCAAGTGCCTTGGTTTCTGCTAGATATGCACCGTAACAGTAAGTGTAACCCCGCACATTGTGTAAGGATGATCGGTCAAGTGCGGGGTTCAGTCCGCCACTGTAAAGTACAAGTAGTGACAGTAGGTTACCTGCCCCTTCAAGGAAACACTCAGCTCAGGGCTCCTTGGAGTACCTGCTCCTTCAAGTTTACTCCTATTCCCTTTAGCTACTACGGCAGTTCCATTTATCATACCAACGTCATCAAGTTTCAATGGTTGAACGACATACTCAAGGGATCATTGTTAGGGCTCTTGCTACAGCAAGACGGGATATAATGTCTTCGCATTGGGAGGGGATTTTCCCATTTTACTTCATTTTTTTCCGGTCCAAATAGTATACAAGATCATGGAGCTCGGAAATATGGAACTCGTGCTCGGGCTCCAAGTGGGGTGGAAATGGGAGAATTGGGAAGGTCGGGGCTTCGGGATTTCGGAAATTGGGGATGTCGGGAATTGGAGAATTGGGGATTGGGGATTGGGGGAGTCCCAGTTTATGGGATAACTTGTGGTATAACTTCAGAGAATATATAGTACGAGACAAGACAACCTTCATGCTCTCCTCCTATCCCTCCGCCACCCCCCACTCTCGTCTATCACAATGCCCCGTTCCCTCTCCGACCTCCAACGCCAGGATCTCTTCCGAACCCAGGGCTTCATCGCTCACCGATGGGTCGATTCCACCAGCGGCTCGACCTTCGAGGTCCGCAACCCGGCCACGCTGGATCTGCTGGCCACCCTGCCGGACATGCATGCGGAAGACACCCACCAAGCCGTCCAAGCCGCCTACGAAGCATTCAAGACCTTCAAGAAGACCACCGCCCGCCAACGAGCCCAGTGGCTACGCAAATGGTATGCACTCTGCCTCCAGCACCAAGATGACCTTGCCCTCATCCTGACCCTGGAGAATGGAAAACCCCTGGCTGAAGCGAAGGGGGAAGTCGCCTACGCGGCCTCATTCCTGGACTGGTTTGCCAGTGAAGCCGAGCGGACGTATGGAGAGGTCGTCCCTCCTGCCAACCCCAGTCAGCGTATTATCACCACCAAAGAGCCCCTGGGTGTAGCCGCCTGCCTGGCCCCATGGAATTTCCCTTTAGCGATGATCACCCGCAAAGTCGGGGCCGCCCTGGCAGCGGGGTGCACGACCGTGTGGAAACCCGCCGGCGAAACGCCGCTGAGTGCTCTCGCCCTCGCCGTCCTCGCCCAGGAAGCTGGCCTGCCCGCCGGCTCCATCAACGTGCTCACCACCCTCAACAACGTCAATGAGGTGGGGTCCGCCTTATGCGAGAACCGCTTGGTGCGCAAGCTCAGCTTTACCGGATCGACGCGCGTGGGCAAACTGCTCGCCCAGAAGTGCAGTGTCAATCTTAAGAAGCTATCGCTCGAGCTGGGTGGAAACAGCCCGTTCATTGTCTTCGATGATGCTAAGCTCGAAATCGCCGTGGATGCCTTCTTGCTGGCCAAGTTCCGGAATGCGGGCCAGACCTGCATCACGGCCAACCGCGTCTTTGTCCAGGAGGGCATCTACGATCGCTTTGCTGCCGCCTTGGTGGAACGCGTCAAGTCTCTGCGAGTCGGCAATGGGGTGGTCGACGGGGTGACCATCGGCCCTTTGACGCACGAGCGCGCGGTCGAGAAGGCTGTTGGCCACATCAACGGTTGGCTCAACTCATTCCCGTAAACCGTCGAAGCTGCTAATGTGTCTATCGTGCAGATGCTACCTCCAAGGGCGCCTCCGTCCTGTTGGGCGGTGCTCCCTTTCAGCCCGACAATCTCAAGGGCTACTTCATGCAGCCCACCATCCTGAGCAATGTCACCCCGGAGGCGCAAGTGACCCGCGAAGAGACCTTCGCGCCGGTGGTGGCTTTGTTCCCCTTCAAGACCGAGGAAGAGGTAATTGAACGAGCCAATGACTGCGACGTGGGTCTAGGCAGTTACATTCTCACCGAGTCGATCTCGCGCATGTGGCGAGTAGCCGAAAGCCTGGAGGTCGGCATGGTGGGCGTCAACCTGGGAGTGCTGGGTGCGTGCGAAAGTCCCTTTGGAGGCGTGAAGGAGTCGGGCTACGGGCGCGAGGGGAGCAGCCATGGCATTAATGAGTATCTATCCCTCAAGAGCATCATGATTAATGTCTCCAATTGATTTGGGGGCGCGAGGAGAGGGATTGGCCTCCTTCAGTAGCCATGATATCAGTTTTCCTGGTAGTGCAACGGGGATATGACTGCGTTCCGTGTACTCTACTTTACAACCTTCCAGCATCAATCGGGGGTTCTAGAAGATATCTCAGGCAGAGAACACGCTGAGCACTGTGCGAATAAGACATTCTTTATCAAGGACATGCTACTAAGTACCGTATTACCTAGATTAGCTGGGCAGAAGACACGAAGTGACTTCCACCAGCACACCGATACCCCGTCGCTTGTTTAATCCACCGGAATCCCACAGGGCAGACACCCATCTCCTGCAACTTTTGCTGGGCGGCCTCCTCCTGCTTCTTTCGCTCCTCAATCTCAACCCTTTCTCGAGCCAGATTCCGGAGCTGCTCCTCATACTTCCGTCGCTCGTCACTATCGGGCGTATCCCCACTAGTCTTCAGCTGCTTCTTGATACTCCCCTCTCGATGCAGAGTCTCTGTATCACGGTTCCTCTGCGCCTCGTTGCGCTGTTTATCTGCTTGCAATTGCATCCAAACCACGTCGGAAACCCCCGGGTCGCGGCCCTCGCCTGAAATAGGATGCGCCGGAGCAGGCGCACATGGCTTATCAGCTGCCTCGCCGGGGCGAACCTGGTCTTTGGCAGTGGGAACAGACGGTCTGGGTAAAGGAGGAGTTGGGAACGGCGCGGAAGTTGCTGTCAGGGGTCCATCCTCGCTCTGAGTACTTGAGGGGGTTATGGTCGCCGCTCGAAGCCGTCGCTCCTCGATTGTTGATCCAAGAACTTCCATTATCATCGCTTGAGTGAGTACTAGCTCTTCCTTGCCCGCATCCTGTGGGAACGAGAAAGCTTTTCGGATGATTGTCGCAGAGATGGTCTTGACATCCCGGCCGTTTGTTTGCCCAGCCAGGTAGTGCGGATAAATTTTCAAATGAGGCCAGAATCTGGGACTTGAATTGGTCGTCAGGTTGCTGGACTACCATTCGATCGACGCGCTCGATTTGTCCCAGACTATCCCGCAAGAGTATCCAGCACTGAAAGGCAGTGAGGTTCTGGAACAAGACCGTCTCTGAGAACCGGCTGGCCAGACCGGGATTTGATGCCATGAGACGATTGATCTCCCCGTCATACCCGGCCAATACAACAATCAGCTTCTTGTAGAACTTTTCTTTCGTCAAACAATCGACCAGCTCATCCATGGCCTCTTTACCAAATGCCCCGTCAGCGAGTCGGTACGCTTCATCAATAAAGAGAACCCTGCCCAGTCCCTTCTCAAGCAGCCGCTCAGTCTTGGGTCCAGTCTGCCCAACATACTGTGCAACAAGATCAGAGGCCGATGACTCGATAACCTTAGTCGTGGCGAGAATTCCCATATCGTAGAAGATCTGACCCATGCGTCGCGCTGTCGAAGTCTTGCCGGACCCTAGAAGTTCCGTCAGCAATGCCACATGCTCCAGAAGTAGAACGCAAAACATATCCCATACCCGGCGGGCCACGGAACGGAAAGTTGAAGGGAATATTTTGTCGGGGATCCAGCCCCAATTGCTTCATGTTCCGAACCACGTTTTGATAGCCCTCGAGCTGCGCCACCAAGTGCTCACAGCCGACAACGCCTTCGAAGAGCTTACGGCAGTTGGTAACGGCTCTCTTCTCTCGGTCATGGTCGGGGTCAAAGTCGAGGGGCTCCAAGATATCGATGTTTCTGGTTTTCCGCGCAGATAGCCGCTGCTGGTGCCGTAGCTTGGCCTTATGAGAAGGATGTCCACCTCCCCAGCGTTACCGAAGTTGGGTCGGTTCCGGGTGCGAGCAAGACATTGGCGAACAACTAGCTTTGCATCCTTGGTGGCATGAAAGCCTGCTTGCTTCAATTTGAGAGCTAGGATGTCTTGGAGGTCATCATCACTGAAGTCCTCGAAGTTGAACGCAGCGCTCATAGGGAAGCGTCGGGAGAGACCTTCGTTCACGGTCTGGAACATCATCTCCATTGCGTCCCTGTATCCGAGGAGCAGAACACACCGGTCATCGCCGGGACGCTTTGGACTTCCGCAACAAGAGTGTCAATTACCGGCACCTTCTATATATCTGGGCCTCCGCTCGATGCAGACCCCGAGGAACTACCACCAAGCATGTAAGCCTCGTCGATAATGAGAACTTTACCGAGGGTGGAAGCCAAGATGCCCTTGGTTGCGGCCTCCGATCCCCTAATCACGTTACCGATGAAGTCGGATGGGTTCATAACAACCACTTTTATGGTAAGCTAATTTAGCTGATGGTGCCTATGGAATGATGGAAGGTGGATAGGGAGAGATATAATCAGTACCTTCGCCATTAGACAAGTATCCCATATCTGCCAAGAGCTTTCCGTTAGAGCTTCGCGATGGTGGTATTGCTAGTGCCGGGATTGCCAACGAACACCTTGTTGAGAGAGAATTCCACCAATGGTTTCTCTGCTAGTTCACGTTCGTAGTTGAATTGGACCGTGTCAAATAGAGCTTCTACCGATTGCTTGACACTCTGCAGACCGGTCAATGCTTGAAGCTTGTCCCATGTAGCGTTCTTCCTTAGCACTGTTTGCGGATCCGGTCCAAGAAGGTCCTCTTTCGTGAGCAGCAGATCGTTAGCGGGCCTCTTGAGTCTCCGTTGCCGTTGTAGGCGTTTAGCCTGACGGTCCGTGATGCGTGCAAAAACGTTGTTCACTGCTCGAGCATTTCCGAATCCTCCACGGCCACGGCCACGGCCGACACGCCGGGCGACAATCCGCATATATAGCCCGCCAGGGCCTTCTTCGACCCTCATGCGTCCATTGTATTTCTGGTGCATGTGGTGCTGGAGGATACTTTGAAGCTCCTCGTCCAAGTAATCCTTAAACCGAAGTTAAATTGGGAACCTGCTTGGGACACCGGGATTGTGGGCGAAGAAGCTTTCCATGTTTTTGTTATACCCGGCGATGATGAAAACAACCTTCCCCGTCAAATTTTCGACCTCTCCAGCAGAAAATCCAGTACAGAGCTTCCCCCAGCATTGTTGCCCGACGTTAGCTGATAGGCTTCGTCGATGAACAATGCCCCTCCTCCATTAGACTTGATTTCCTCGAGATGTTTCTGACAACCCTGGACACTACCGTTTGCTAGCTTGGACCCGGGGGTTTCAATGAAAAATCTGCCCGGGATGACGCCAAATATGCTGAGAAATCTAGCATACAGACGTGCCACTGTGGTTTTCCCGGTCTCTTGATTGCCAAGGAGGGCTGCGCCGAATCGCTCTGCTGCGAGACTGGCACCCTGTCGAACCACCACATCCACCTTGACCTTGATACCAAGGAAGCTTTCCTTAACACTCTCGAGTCCGATCATGTCCATCAATGTGTCCAGGGCTTCATTTGACTGGTCTTCGTCCTTCTTTTGCCTCTGCCATTCATCTCGGGCTTCCGACTGTAGGGCTATCGTGCTGGTGCCACCCTCGGGTTGTGAATCAACAGGGAATTCACCTGGCACGGAAGTTGGAGGGGAAACGCGAGTACGATCAGCAGCTGCAGTCAGGCTTTTGAGTTCCTCTTCCTTTCGAGCAAGAGCGTCGCGACGGTCCCGATTCCCTTGTTCGTCCTTTAAAGGTTGTCGCTGCTTTCTAATTCTCTCCTCGATTTCCTTGAGCTTCTTCGCGTGTTCCAGCTGGGTAGCTCGTCTTTTTGCTTCTAGTTTCGCATCTTCACGTTTTAACCTCTCAGCTTCAACTGCTTCTTCGAGACACGTTGGGCAGGTCCTCGGGGCTCCTTGGTAGCATTCCCAGTAATACTTGTGGTTCTTGGGACAGGTCTGTTCCATTGTCATAATGCATTTTATCCTGCTGTGATTCTCAGCCCGGTGGCATCGCCTAGTGCAGGAATGGACTCCACAGGCGAAGGCAGCCGAACTATTGCGAGGCTGTTAGTCACCGTCGAAGGGGACTTCAACTCCATATGTTGAGACCATAGATTGAGATGACATACCACGGGTCCGAACAGCCTCTGTCAGGACATTCTGTCTCGAATTCCTGGGGCGACCGGATCACCACCTGGCGATCTGGATGTGTCTCGCATTTAAGCGGAAACCCAGTGTACACGTGTCCATGGTCCCTAAGCATTTCAAAGAGTGGCTGCCATGTGAGATGTCCTTTCCGGCTCTTGAGGAATATACCTCCATTGCCGATCATCGCCAGGGCATTTCGTGCGCGGGAGAGGAGAACATTCAGCCGCTCGGGAGCCGCCATGAATCCGATGTCTCCCGCCTCATTGCTCCTTGTGAGGCTGGCGACAACAATATCCCTCTCTTCGCCTTGGTAGTTATCTATGCGAGGAGCGCTGTCAGTGACTGGTGTTGGCAGGAGACAATGCCCCTCCACATACCTATAGTTGAAAGACGAATGGGACTTTTCAACACCTTGGGGCTTCCGAGGGTTAGCAGTCCAGCCTTGAGCAGATCGCTGGAATCCAAGTCGTTTAACAACGGATCATTGGTTTTGCTCAATTCTGTGCGCAAAAGAGACAGCTGCCTAGGTACGGTGTCAGGATGACCATGTCGTCTGTACCGTACCCTTGCTGGCCAAGATACTTAACAATCTTCAAGGCCATTTCAACCTCATACAGATTCTGCTTGCTAGTCTTCATACTGGGGTCTCTTTTTTCGGATATCTCATGGAGCTCACGCTCAGGGTGAGAGTGATCAACAAACACAATATTATCCTGAAATCCGCGGAGCCTTGGTCGCTTGAGTGTGCTCTCGGAGTCTTGCAGCTCAGGATACGTGAGCTGTCGGACTAGGCGTGAGAGCTCCGGGCGCATTCAATGCTGCTTCGCAAGCCGTCTTGCTGATCAGGTATGGTAAATGCGTCAAAAAAGTCGCTTTCGTCCGAGAATTCCAGATACTCAAGAATGTCATCTCTGGTTATGTTATCGGCGTGAAATTGTGACGAGCATGCTTCTAACTCTTTCGCTGCCTGATTCAGATCTTCCCTCTTCTGAAGGACGAAAGACCATGAATCAGAGATAGAAGTGCCTATCGACTGTTCGAAAAGTCCCAGGTGCTTGGTTCGCGGCGTCGATCTGGACCCAAGCCGGACCATGGACGATTCCAGAATGCCGATGTCCAACAGGTATTCTAGGAATTGATCCAGTGCATGATTGGTGTAGCAGATGGCCATCATCGTTTTACTTGTCTTATCATGCAAGATCTTCGCGATCAATGCCCCGAGAAATGACTTTCCGGTCCCTGCAGTGGCACGGGTTATTTTGCTGCGGTCGGGCCCATATGAGGTGTTCATGTAAGCTCACCAGGTGGTCCCTGAATCGTGCTTACGCTCTGCTGCAGGACATTCAAGAGCGATTGAAGCTGCGAGCCATCTAATGACACCTTCATGTCCGTGTCGAGAATGGCTTCCAGTGACTTGCCGTTCGTGGTTTGGATCTGGCGAACAAGGGTTGCAAGATCATCGTCCAACGTCAGAAGCTCCGGCTTCGGCTCCGACGCAAGCAGTATTTGGGATAGTGAGAACTCCACCACCTGCTGTAAACGTTGAAGAATCGGCTCGTAAGCGAAGATTGGCGTATGAACGGGTAGGAAGGCGAAGGGCGGGCCCACTTTGGCGCAGGTAAATAGGCGAGTTAATTCATCACTGCCAGACACCACCAGCGCGAGAATGGGAAGATCATCAAGCAAGTCCGAGGACCCCCGATCAAGGGATACAAATGCGACAATCTCCCGTTTGCTCAACAAGCACCCAAATGCCTGGTGCCTGAATATGTGTGGGTTGTCATCGAGCAACTTCGTGCGATCCGCCTTGGGCAAGCAAGACAGGTGTGGCAAGCCCATCGTGCACGCGAACTCCAGATAGCAGGTTTTTCTCCGGTCGTCAGTGCCACAGCCAACTCCTGTCAAACATAGCCCATGCACCGGTGGAGCAGATCTCCTTCCTTTCTTCTGACCGCGAGCGATCTGGAGGTCATTGCGCAGCTCGGCGAGAAGATCTTCTCTCAACAGGCGAAACTGGTTATCGTAATGCGTTGCAGCCCGTTGTGCTTCGGGGACGTTGTAGACATCACACATTCGCCTATAGTACGGAATTTCGACTGAAGCAATTTCATCCGGAGTGGGCAAAATTGAGATTTCCCGAAAGTCCTCAAAATCGTTGTCGTGCCTCCCTCCTGGCCAGTATCTATCGTCTAGATCCACCTTGGCCCTGATGGTCTTCATAATGCTCTGGATCCGATATCCGATAGTCCTGATTTCCAGGGAGGGTGAATCGAGGAACGTTCGACTCTGCGTATCGTCCTCGGCAGTGTCAATAAAATCGGAGGAGCATCCTGGCGAGCTGAGCAGCCTCAGAAGCAACCAGGCAAAACTTGACTCTGCGTGTTCGCTGAGTTTCTTCAAGGTGTGAGCGTGCAAGAATACCATCCAGAAGGTGCGAGGAACGGTGATGCAGGAGACAAGCTGGCGGAGAAATTGTCCATTGCCAAAGCTCTCGATGATCGGGTCTCATATGTAGCTCAAGAATTCTGCAGCCGAAGTGTTGACGAACCCAGTTGATGAGTCGACACGGAAGCTATTCTGCAGTGACTCCAAGAGGCTCGGAGAAGCAAGCACCCTCTCGACACAACGCAGAGAGTCCTCTTGTGCACAAAGTGATTCTAGAAACAGCTTGGCGTTGGCGGGCTTTTCCACTCGTCTCTTACCTTTTTCAATGAGCCATAGATATTTCATGAGGCGGTCTGAGCGAGTAGCCATTGCGTGGAAGATTCTATTCGGGCACTTCTATAGCAGATGGGTATAGTACCAGACGGGGAAGAGGAAGCAGAAGGCCACTGAGGTGAAGAAGGGAGAATTGGATTGGAACAACCCCGGCCCAGACCAACGCACCATTGGAGGTTAGGTCTGTTCATGGTTACTACAAAGTTGAGATGTCACAGTGGCGCAATTGGCTGGAAACCGGCGGTTGGGCCTTCATGTGACACAAAGGAGGCCTTTCGTTCATCCTCTTCTTCTTCCCCACGCTCCATGCCTCTTGATTCTCGCGGCCCTATGGGTTTCGTCGATAAGCAGGTTCAGCGTCTTCTTGTCGGTTGTAATCACCAGTGAGAATGTTGAGAGCCCCAGCAGGACGTTACAGAGCCAGCATTCGTGGTGGTTCGCGACGGGGCTGGCTTGGGCTTGGCCACCAGACGCGCAAACCAGAACCGGTCTACGAGTCCCCGGCCCCTCCATGTGGTCCACTGCTTGTGGAGATCGAGCAATCTAACCTTGGGAGATCTCAAGAAAGTTCCCGAATTACCTCCTGCGAATACTTGACATCGTACACGTGGTTGGGGCGCGAATCGCCGTCAATCATAATTCCGGGTATAGCTTTCCATCCCAGTGATGGACTCGGGACTTCAACGCTAACAAATCCCATCTCGCTAGGCGAGCCACCTGTCTAGATTCCCCCAACAGAGGACAGGCAACTCCAACCCGACTGCGGAGAGTATTTACGTGACCCTAATGCTGCTATGTATCCTGCCTATCCATGGGAGGCGGCTTTTACGGCAATCGAAAAGCAGTGTCCAGAATATGATCTTGCCAACACCGATATCGTGATCTGCTCCAGTACTTTGGGCAATCTCAATCGTTTTGCCCGAGGGGTCGACAAAAGCTTCAGGTTTGTCCTGGAAACGGTGGGCGACACCGTCTTTTTCGTTAGGCGCGAGAACTCGCCAAAGGACTTGATACCTGATGTTCGGGGGTACGGGCACACGTTTCTGGATGAATACACAACTTGGAGACCTGATCTTGCTGGTTCAGAGTCCCATCAACGGATTATTCAGTATGTCTTCGGTGGTCTTCGTTTCCTCCTTCGCTTTGAGTCGGACGGATACATACCAGAGAAGGGGTCGCAACGACAAGAGTGCAGTAGCTCTGATGGTCAAAGAAGAATGCCGAATAAAACTCTGGAGGCTGAAGTCGCCAGTCTGATTGGTAAACTCGGAGGAGACCACACTCCGGAACCAACTCAAAGCTCCGGAGATCTAAAAGTTCGCGAAGGAGGACGGTTGATCTCCCAGAGCGCTATCATTGACATCAAGACACGCTCAATGTTTGACTTCCAGACCCGCACTGTAAAGAAAGAGATCGATATGACAGATCTGACTCCTCGTCTTTGGGTGTCACAGATCCCAACTCTGGTCGTGGCGTATCACGATCGGGGCTTGTTCACTGATATTCGGGTGCAGGACATGCGAGAGCAAATCACGCAATGGGAGCGAGACAAGCAAGAGCTACTGGGACGGCTGGCGTGGATTCTCCATGAGCTTGTGCAGTATGCAAAAAGTTCAATGACTCGGCTCGAAGTATGCCGAACTGATTCCGGGCCTCTTCAGATCCGTCGACTAATTGGAGACGCCCCAGTGGCTTTGTTCCCTGTATTGAAGGCCCGGTGGACTGAAGACGACGACCTTGAGTCTTCGGGTCATGGAAGCTTTTCCTCACACGATAACAGCTGTTGTGATATACCATTGGAGGCGCATCTTCCAGAGCATCAAGTCAGCCATGATTGGAAGGATCATAAGGATTATACGGCGTCTTCTTCGGAGAAGCGTGGTAGCAGGTCGCCGAGTTGTGCTCCGCGGTTGGTTGCGGAAGGCTTTCCCGAGCACTCAATGCTCATGAGACTGATGTCGCTGTTTTGAAGCCTTGTGATCCCAATTTGCACAAATTACAAACCTATCCAAATCTCTACTACCCACCATACACTTTCCTGACAACCTTGCTTCGCATGCGTTGTGCGACCGGATCAATGCCAAGAGCAGCGAGTAGCAAGCGCAGTTTGCGATCGACGCGTAAGCGGCCGTGTAGATCCCTTGACCCGCTCCGTACAGTGCAATCAAGATTCTGACTTGTAGTCATTGGATGGGGAATATGCTGGCCGTGTCGAGCTTGAGATGATAATGTTTTGGCAGCATCGTAGAAGTCGAGGAGTCGGAGACAAGAAGAAGAACGAAGGAGAGAGAGTGACAACGGGACGCGGTCGGGGAAAGGCGGCCGCTGATGAGTCAGCGTCTCCCTGATCTGCCCCACCACGAAGCCAAAAGACTGACAGGATATAATTACGAGATGACCTTGGATTGAGGCCGTAGAGCTTATACGGCAGTTGGGAAAGCTATAAGAACCAATTATAGAATTACTGTGGGTCCAGAGCATGGCCCTTTGTCTCTGTATCAGCTTTTTGAGCACAAGCCTGCGATATATATTTCTCGCCTGTTGTAACTACTCTAGTCATACTACAGACATGCCATGGACGTTCAGTGCCGGTCAAAAGTTGCAGTCCCGTCTTCATTAAAGTCACTAGTGAATGAGAATTACGTACAAAGATCTACAGGCGAGAATGAATCGAATCAACCTCATCGAGTCACTCCTTCTCGTCATGTATCCATCCCAAGATCTTCTTCGCCTTGTCTGTGGCGAAGAAGGACTGGTTTCCTGATAGCTCGCCCCGGATCTCTGCGTCGGGGTAGTACTTCTGGGCCAGGTCCTTGGACGGAGTATCCTGCGTAGTCGTCGGGGCGACGATGTTGAAGACCTCACATCCCTTCAGGTTGTCACTCTTCTCCACAGCCAACAGGCATGCTCTCGCGGTCGCCTGCGGACTGACCCAACCCCACAGGCTCTTCACGGCTGCAGTATCCCAATTATCCTTGTGTGCCTGCTGTGCCTCAGCCCGTGACGACACAGCATGTATCCGCATGCAGGCAATGTTCATCCCAGGGAACCACCGAGCAAAAGCACGGGCCTGCAGCTCGGCTTCGTCCTTGGCCAGCGCGTAAGCGTCCGTCGGGCGGGATTCGGCCTCTTCATCGACGGGGAAGTAGTCGAACGTCAGGGGTCGGTTGGCATATTCCAGGCCGATGGCATTGACCGAGGAGGCGTAACACACGCGCTTGATGCCCAGTTCGGCGGCGGCACGAAACCCATTGAAGGCAGAATTGACATTATTGTTGTGCACGAGATCGTCGCCCTTGTCGACGGGGTCGGGAATCGCGGCCAGATGAATGACGGCGTCGCAGCCCTGGAAGGCCTTGAGCGTGGCCTGGTAGTCGTTGGCCGCATCCGCCGTCTTCATCTCCGAGTTGGGAGTGCCATCGTATTCCGTATCGGTGCGATTGACCTGGACGGTGGAATGGCCGGCTTTCGAAGCCGCCTTGACGACCTCACGTCCGACCGTGCCGCGAGCACCGGTGATAGCGATTCTCATGCCGAACGGTCTCGTGTGGGAGAAGTTTCGTACGGTTCGGGCGGAAGATAAGCGGAGAGGAGGGGCGATTCGAGCGAAGGTGGGAGGATTCAAAGCGATTCGGATGGAATGGAGGGAGATTTGGCGATGCATGGAGGAGGAGGAGGAGGAGGAGGAGGAGGAGGCGGTGGATTTGAGGTTTCAATGATGGTGAGGGGCCATCAAGGAGGCTCATAATCATAACTCGATTTCATGACGCGAGAATGATGGTAGCTGGTAGAGAAACAGCCAACAATGCAATGCATGACGACAAGATGACTGTGGAGGTCTGGAGGTCTGGAGTTCTGGGCTTTCTTATCTTATCGTAAGCGGTGAGCGATGAAGCTGACATCATGGCTGAGTCATTTCTCCGCACAATTACTCAGCATGCTCATCTGTCATCTAGCATAAGTTAAGTTGTCCCCTTGGTCAAAGCCGAAAAAATGAGGTCCTTGTTAACTATTTACTATTTACTGTTTACTGTTCACGGTTTATTGATAGATGCTAGATGAACTTACTTACTCTCAGGCTCTCGGGCATTCGTCCGACCACAATGCCTTTCCCCAGCGAGCCAGCGATAATGAGCGGAGGAATCGTTTTTCACCGGCAATGAGCGAGGCTCGATCAAGTGGTCTCCAAAATCACAATTCATACTGTCTATGCTATCTATGCTATATGCTATATGTTATGCTGCGATGCGATAGCAGACCAAGCACCATATAACGAGGAGCAGGCCATGGGATCTCAAAGGTCAGCACTAAATCTCGCCGGGCAGGCGATACGGGCTGACCATCTCGTAAAGCCTCCCCGATTAGTGATCCGGGATCTGCTTCTGCTTACACAGATTAGTGATCTTACAGCACCCCATGGGTATACGACGAATCTTCGGTATATATAGATCCAGAATGAGACTTGTGATGCTCCAGATCAACAACAATCTCATCTACTCATTTCTCTGGTCTGACGGACAATTAGATCGATACCAATTGCATCACCAATTGCATCACCATGAGCGAACAGGGTTACCAAAATGTCATCCTCGTCGGGGTATGTCCGCCAATCCGTTACATAGAATCCTCGCTAATCAATTGTCGCAGGGAGGTGGCTCACTGGGAAGCGTTCTGCTCAACTCGCTACTGTCCGAGCCAACGTTTAAAGTCAGGGTTCTCACCAGAGAGTCGTCCAAGGCTCGCGCCAGTCTTCCCTCCACCGCCAACATCATCACCATCCCGGATACTTACCCCAAGGAAGACCTGGTCAAGGCCTTCCAAGGCCAAGATGCGGTTGTCAATGCGATCACAAGTTTCTCGGTCGCCGAGCAGCTGAAGTTCATCGACGCCGCCGTCACCGCGGGCGTCAAGCGGTTTGTGCCATCGGAATACGGGTTGGATAACAACACCCCCGCTGCACAGGAACTTTCCCCAGTCTTCAAAGACAAAGGACAAGTGCAAGCGTACCTCCGATCGAAAGAGGCCGATGGTCTAACATGGACGGCCATTGCTTGTGGCATGTGGATTGGCTGGTTCGTACCCCATGTCATCTATCAGGATTCGTTGCTAATGAAGGCAGGTCCCTTCGCAACAATTTCCTCGGTCTGGATTACCCCAACCGAACCATGACTCTGACCGATGATGGCACCGGCAAGTTCTCGACGACGACCCTGGACAACACCGCCCTCACGCTGAACCGTATCCTGCTGAACCCCAGCTCCACCGCCAACCAGATCGTCTTCACCAGTGACTTCGCCACCTCCCAAAAGGAGCTCGTGGAGACCATTGAGCGTCTTACCGGGGAGCAATGGCAGCGCAAGTCGATCAACACCAAGGAGCTGATCCCTACCCTGAAGGCTGCCTGGAAGCAGGGTGACGCTTTTGCTGGATACGGGTTGATCAACATCGGGTTCACGCAGGGCGAATACAGCGGTCACTTCGAACCTGTGCGGCCAGTGCGCAACAAGGAGTTCGGATTGCCGGAGAAGCATTTGGAAGAAGTGGTCATGGAGGCGCTCGCTGAGGTGGGACATCCAGGATTCTGATCGCGCTGAGCAAGCTCGTGGTTCGAGGGACTGTGACAATATCTGGCATTTCAATAGATCACTGGGAGCTTCAACCTACATACACATATCGAGCCTAGCGAAAATTGCAACGAGTTTACGAATTACTTCAAATGGTTTGCTGGACGTTCTTCTTTCGACTCTCAAATGCAAGTGCCAGGTTTACGAATTCAGGCTCACTCTAGTTATACTTGCACCCGAAAAGTGTGGGCAGGGGCCGGCCCCAGAGCAGCACAGTGCCGTTGAAGGCCTACCTGATTCTGGACCACTACTATACCTACTGTAGGTATAAAAGCCTAATGTCCGACAATTGCCAAGCCCGTGGTCACTTAGACACGGAACATCTGTATCTCTCATGCAGTGTAAACTCTGCCGCCGCGGGTGCTTACTCCGAACATGCAAAAGCTCCGTTGCCAATGGGGGATAGTGCCAGGAAACTGGAATGAATCTGAAGTATTCCTCCCTGCCAGACAACATTGATTGGCCCAATGCGACTGCCATTTAACCTCTGGGTCCAGCATGACTGTGGGATAAATGCATTTGATCTTATCCTTGTTCTGTCTATATCTAGCAATCCCTACCCCACCGATCATTGCTTCCTCTGGATGGAGATCTATGCCTCGACAGTTACTCGATGGTGATTGATCAGAGTCCTCAAGGTAGTCGATCCTGTCTGGCAAGATGAAAACACTATATGCCTTTGCTGGGGCAAGCTTGGCCCTCGCCTGGTCAGCCGCTGCTACGACCAAGTACGTGATCAGTTTCGGAGATTCATACACGTCCACCACCTTTAATATCACCGGCACCAAGCCCTCCGCTGCGAACCCGCTCGGAAACCCTCCCTATCCGGGGTGGACCGCATCTGGAGGAACCAACTGGATCTCCGACATCGTTGCCAAATACAACAACTCCCTTCTCCTGAGCTACAACCTCGCGTATGGAGGAGCTACTGTCAATGCTTCACTCGTGGCGCCATATCTTCCGACGGTATACTCCATCATTGATCAGGTAGCCGAATATCAGGAGTACTTGTCCCCACCACCGTCATGGGCACCATGGAGTGCGAAGAATACTCTGTTTGCAGTGTGGATGTAAGGCTGCTCTTGCTGGGTTAAATTATCGATGCTAAGAAAAAACCCCATGCTGACCATACCAGAGGCGTCAACGATGTAGCAGGATCCTGGTACCAAACCAGCGCCGCCACCCTGGAAAGGGAGATTTTAAATCAGCTTTTCGAACAACTTGAGCTTGTGTATCAAGGTGGCGCCCGTAACTTTGCCCTCTTGACTGTTCCTCGTATGCTTTCCACTTCCTGGCTCTGAAGCTCCTCTCTGACCATCTGATGTACAGCGATCGAACGCACGCCTAACATCATGCAAGGGTCGGATCCGGATTACACGATCCCTCGCTTGAAAGCTGCCATTGAGCACTGGAACACTATCCTCGTCGAGGAAGCCGAGGCACTCACTCAAACGCATCCCGACGCCATCGTCAAGGTCGTGGACACACAGCCGGTCTTTAACAGTATCCTAGACAGCGGCGGAGCGGCGGCGGAGTGCTGGAACTCCGACGGCGTCACTTGTCTATGGTTCAACGACTTTCACCCGGGGATTGTAATCCAGGATGCGGTGGCTCAAGCGGTCGCAGGTGCGTGGAAGGGGAGCTTCTTTACCTAGTACTTGAGTCGACTGCCTTGAACCATGGTTTGGGGCTTCATGCTCGGGTGTCAATCGCACTATGGCAATACATGTTCGGTGATCACAACCATGGGAGCGCTGACTCGGTCTGATCCTTGTGAGACACTGGATTATTAATGAGAGAATGGACAACTTTTATAGTAGGATGCAGATCTTTGTTGATTTGTCAGACTTGAATGCAGTGAAGCAATCTGGGGATAGAATTCCGTGGAAGCCCCGATTACTAATTCCCCACCCCCTTTCCCTTCCCCACATCAAATAAAAAGATCACTATAAAGTCACCAACTATAACTAACACAAAGCATGAACCAAGCAATCAGCTTCCAATAAAATCACACCATCTCCTCCCAATAACATTTCATTCCTGGCAACCATGTCTTCCACCGTGTACACCATTACCATCCCGACCTTCATCAATGGTCTCCAGACGCTCTCCCACATCCTCAAGAAGGGCGAGGAGTATGCCACTGAGAAGGGCATCGCTCTTGATACCCTCCTCAACGCCCGTCTCTACGAGGACATGAAGCCTCTCTCCTTTCAGATCTTTGCCACCGTGCTCAACATCCGCAAGACCATCGCCCGCACCCAGCTAGTGGACCCCCCGGCTCCTCTGCCCGAGGCCAAAACGTACCAGGACCTCTACACCAGCATCGACGCCGCCCTCGCCGAGATCCAGCAGCTCACCCCGGCGGGCTTTGCCGACAAGGAGCAGACGGCGTTCAAGGCGCCCCTGGGCGACCACGAGATCGAGTTCACTCCGGAGTCCTACGCCCTCAACTTCGGGCTGCCCAATGTCTATTTCCACATCACGACGGCGTACGCCATCCTGCGGGCTCAGGGTGTGCCCCTTGGCAAGTTGGATTTCTTGAAGAATTTCCTTTCCTGAATGGTTGAGATCGATTGCGGGTGCTTGTTTAGTGGTTTCCGGGGTTGATCCCCGCAGCAGAAAAGAGGTGTATGTATGAAGCAAAATGAAGTCTGATTGGTATTCCATATAATAGAGTTGTCAAGTAACCCTACAAGTGTAAATGTATGTGCGCATCCGAACCGCTGCCCTTTTCAAGCTCCTAAGGCTTCTCGGACCCAGGTCCTCCGGGGGGTGGCTGTTGGCCTGGCATTCCTGGACCCATCCCTGGCATCCCTGGCATCGGGGGCATCTGGCCCTGAAGCATGGCTTGCTGCCACATGGCTGGATTCATATTCTGCCACACTTGTGCCATTTGCTGAGGTGGCTGTTGCGGCTGCTGCGGCTGCTGCGGCTGCTGCGGCTGTTGCCCGTATCCGAAGCCTGCCTGCATTTGTGGCGGAGCTGCCTGGGGCCATCCCTGAGGGAACGCCGGAGGGTATCCAGGTAGTTGAGACGGATAGCCGGGAAAGGTCGGAGGGCCTGTTGCTTGGGGTGCAGGACTGGTTTCTTGCAATGCAGTGGTGCCGCTGTTGAATAACGACACAGGCGTGGGCGACGAGCTCAGCGTGAGGGACTGGGATAAGGAAGCTGGTGAGAGTAGTCCAGGCGTCGGGGTTTCGGGATTGGACGAGGAGGTCTTCTTGCTTGAGGAGAAGATATCCGCTCCGTCATCAAAGTCCGAGTGGTCGTCCTCGTCATCCGTGAAGTTCATCTTCTTGCCGTCCAGTTCCCTCGCTCGGACACCCCGTCGCTGCGCCAGTCGGTCTTGGTCCACCTTGTAGAGCTTCCTCAGATACTGCATGAACTCAAGGTAGGCCTTAGAAACCGTCTCGAGATGCGTGACGCTAAGCCTGACCTCTGCGGTCGGGTCGATGATCTTCTCGTGACTGCCGCCTCCAGCCTCGAATTCCGCCAGGGCCAAAGCCGTCTGGCACGCATTGCGGATCTGTCGTCCGTTCCAGCGCATCTTCTTGTGCGTCTTCCAGTACTTCTCTACCATCGCCAGGATAGCGTCCCGATCGACCGTAATGTTTCGCTTCTTTTCCGTGAATCGCTGCTGGATGAGCCTCATGTTCAGCAAAAAAATCTCCCTGGTGGCTGGCAGCGTCAACTGGGGGTAGTGAAGACTGATATGGATACGGGATCCGAACGCCTCGTCAAAGTCCCCGATGCGGTTGGTAGTGAGGAAGAGGATTCCAGCATAGTATTCGAGCACTCGCAGGAAGACTGAAAAACTGAGTCAATGACTTCAAGCCTTTCTCGAAGCTCGCGGCGGTCCGAAACATACCAGAAACTAGGCCATTTCGCTTGAAGTCCTGAGGCGTTCGCTTAGCCAAGAACACGTCCGCCTCGTCCAACAACAGGATACAGCCCCATCGATGAGCCAAGGCGAAGTTCGTCTCGAGAGCATGCTCGACGCTCTCAGCTGTGGTGCCCAGGTCACCTGGAATGCGTGTCAGTTGGCAACTTGAGCTAGGGCCTGGGAACAGGAGAGCTTACCGCAGGTGATCTGGAAAAGGGGCTTTTCAAAGAGCTCGGCCACACCCTCTGTATCAACGGTCAATTCATCTCTCAATCATCTCAACCAAAAAGGGGCTCAACACGCACCTGCCGTTGTGGTCTTGCCCACCCCGGGAGCACCGTGGAGGAGGATAATGAGTCCCTTGCCTGAACATCCAACAATCAGCATCAATACTAGTGTCATACAACCTCCCATCCAGACTTACCTTTTCCGCGCACGATATCAACTTGCTCATTCGCAGCGGTGGGTGACTCCTTGTCCCGATAGTGTTGTGCAACCAGAGACAGCAACATCTTCTTGTGGCCTTCCTCCAGCACTAGCTGATCGAACGCCGTTTCTCGAACCTGTGGTTTGCCTTGGTTGTCGCCCTGGCTCTCCACGCGGATGCCTCGGATGTAGCTGAGATGGGTGAGGTCGAGCTTCTCTGTAATGAGAAATTCACATTAGAAATAATACTTGACAAAATCCGGACACGGCTCTGACGTACCCCATTTGCGACTTCGCAGGCTGAAGCCGAACACTCGATAACTCATGATCACAAAATCATCGTCGGAAAGAGCGTCGTCGGATGATCGCGAACTCTTCACCCGGGGGTAGATGGCAGCAGAGGGCTGCTGGGACAGCTCCTCCGGAATCAGACTGTTGCGATAGTGTTCGTTCCGCTTCTGCTCGGCATAGAGGTCTTTGTGCACGCGTTCTCTGGCGCAGCACGCGGCTGTGCAGTCGGATTCGGAGATATCAGGGACCTCAACGCTGATCAGACTGCGGATCTTTGGCCGCCACACCTTCTCCAGCTCTTCTTCCCCACCATCCCCACCGTTGTTGTCGCCAAGCTCGGCGGGCTGCTTGGATTTGTCTTCGCTCTCGAAGGCCTTCTCGAAATCGATCACCACTTGGCCGTCCACTTCATCGCGAGTCTCCAGCGTCAGCCCACTGTAGTGCATGTGCTTCTTGGCTAAGACGTCAATGAACATCTTGCCACGGGCAATGAGTTTCTGCCTAACATCCACAATGGGCGTTAGGTCGCCCGCTCTTGTGCCCGCCAGTCGGATGGGAAAGACACGAAGCGAGGTGATGGCCTTTTCCCCGTCGAACCGTGCGATTCGGAAAGTTTGCAGCACCGGCCCCAGATATTTCCCGTCGAAGTCGATGTGAACGCATTGCAGCATCACTGTGGGCTCATCTTTGCTGGAAGTCTCCCAGTTCCGGTAGGGAGACATGACCTTATGCGGCGAGCTGGTGACGCCGATGATACGATATGCTTGCTTCCCGACCTGGTCCACAACTTCATCGCCGGGTCGAAAGAGATACCAAACATCCGCAAACGACACGCGGTGGCACTGCTCGCTGCGGACATAATCCATCTTGGCTTTGACATCCAAGTCGAGAAAGTTGATCAACACCTGCAGCTGCTCAAGTGCGGTTTCTGACGAGGTAAACTCGTCTTTGAGTACCTCACTCACGGGGTTGCCTTGATTCTCCTCGCCTTCTCGGCTTTCTCCCGGTTGATCTGCGGTGGTTGGAGAGCTGGGGCGAGCTTCTTTCTCTTCCGATCCTGCTGTCTCTTCACCCTTTTTAGCCTCGGGCGACTCCGACTTTGCTCCTCGATGCTTCTCCAGAAGCACCTGGTGGATTTGGCGGAGCTGATCCTCAAAGAACACCAGGGCCTTGAACGGCCGGATCATAATCAGGGATTCATCGGCGTCGGTGAAGTTATCCGGTTCCAGCTTTTGAAGAATCTTGAGAATCTGCTGGGAGTTAATGCGAATGCGTTCGGGCATGGGCCCTTGACCAGGGGGACCGAGCCTCTTTTTTGCTGCAGGGGCTTTTTTCTCTTCTGACACGCTCTTCTTCGTTGTCCACCAGGGGCGGTAGTAGGACATGAAGCTAATGACCGGTTCCCCTTCCAGCACATCGATGGCGAAGGTCTCTTTCACTTGATGATAAGGTGCAGAAAAAGAAGCCCATTCCACGCGATTGAGCTGCGCCGTCGGCCACTGCTGGGATTTTACAGACGCATCATCGTCGTCTTCATCGTTTTCAGTTGCTTCCTTGCCCTCCTTGGCCTTGGAATGCTTGGTGGGTTTCTTCTCGGAAAGCAGATTCGGATCCCACTGGCGCACTTGGGCTTCCATCATGGTCAACCGATCCGTCAACTGGGTGTTCTCCGTCTTGAGGTCCTCCTTCTCCTTCACCATGGTTGTGTAGGCGTCGTCCTCGTTCTTGAGCCATTTAAGCTCCGCTTCGACCACTCCCATCATGATCCGCTTGCGCTCATGCACCTGGGCCATGTCGGTGACGATAGGGTCGGTCACTCGGCTCATGTAGTAGGATTTGCTGTTCTGGTCGGAGTAGGTCTCTGGTCGGAACATGTCCCACTCGTACAGCCAAGGTCGACTCCACGAAGCACCACCCATCCCACTACTTGGTCCCATCGCTCGCTCCGCCATCATCTTCCGTTGCGCCCGCTCGTTCTCCAACTGCTCTTGGATCATTTGAATCTGCTTGTGCAGGTCGGCAACCTGGATTGTGGGTTCTCCTTCGTGCTTCGCTGGTGCTGCCTGCGAGGTGTCTATACAAGGTTCTCCATGTGGCGACACATTCGAGCTCCCGGAAGACACATCGCTAGTCGCTGTATGGCTGCCTCCACTGCCATCAGTTGAGTCGAGTGCTGGAGAGGGACTTGCACTGCGCGGTAGCAGATCCACTCCGTTTGGGCTTTCGACGACCGCCATGATGCAACTGGAGCGGCTGACAAGGCCGTCTCAGTCTGCTGTTAGTGTGTGGGATGCTGGCAAAAATAATTTGCAAGAACCAGTGGTTGCGGCTGGATGGGAGCATGGGTGGTTTAAATTGAAGACGCAGTGCAGAGATAAGATGAGGGTTAGCGTGCAAGCGGACTGAGCGCAATCGCCCCCATCTTTCATCTTTTTGCTTATCGTTTGGCCTCTAGTGCTTACGAGGCTATTCCTCACAGCCGCATCCACCAATACTCACCTGTCCACATGTCCAGATGACAACCACGTTTTCAAAAAAGCGAACTATCAGCGGAACAGCAACAGTCCGAGTCGATTTTAAATCATTTCTCTGACATCTCATCCCAACTGCCTACCGGTCAGTGTGATTCTGTCGGTGCAGAGGGGTTCTTTCGGTAGTGCAGTGAATGGGAAGAGGCGGGGCCAACTAGGGCAAGGCTGGGATGCACTGCACTCAACTTGCCAGACACGCTAATGCAGGTTGGCCAAATTGCACGCCATTCACACATCTTGGGATGATCTTCACGCCAATCACTGTGTCCCACGCTGCCACCCGAGCCCCTCAAGCCCGTATTGATTTCGCATCCTCTGATCCTGCATGTCCGCGGGGCTGTATCTGCAGTCACCTGGCATCGACGCCTCAAAAGCGAGCTCCTTTTGCTTTGGGAACATCATCCCCGCCCGCATTTTGTCTAGAATAGCCTGATAGTCAAGGTTAGATTCGTACATCGGTCAGTAGCCCGTATTGACAGCTGCTTGTAACGAAGGCTGGGGGCTA